AGTTCTTCTGTGTATTCTTGCCACCTCTTCTTAATATCTTCTGCTTCTCTTAGGTCCATACCATTTTGGTCCTTTATTGAGCCCATCTTTGCATGAAATGTTCCCTTGGTATCCCTAATTTTCTTGAAGAGATCTCCAGTCTTTCCTGTTCTATTGTTTTCCTCTATTTCTTTGCATTGATCGCTGAGGAAGACTTTCTTATTTCTCCTTGCTATTCTTTGGAACACTGCATTCAAATGGGTATATCTTTCCTTTTCTCCTTTGCTTTTCACTTCTGTTCTTTTCTCAGTTATTTATTTGTAAGGCCTCCTCAGACAACCATTTTGCTTTTTGCATTTCTTTTTCTTGGAGATGGTCTTCATCCCTGTCTCCTGTATAGTGTCACTCTACAGACGGACATCACCAGGTGGTTAATACCGAAGTCAGATTGATTATATTCTTTGCAGCCAAAGATGGAAAAGCTCTATACAGTCAGCAAAAATACGACTGGGAGCTGACTGTGGCTCAGATCATGAACTCCTTATTGCCAAGTTCAGACTTAAATTGAAGAAAGTAGGGAAAACCAGTAGACCTTTCAGGTATGACCTAAATCAAATCCCTTATGATTATACAGTGGAAATGAGAAATAGATTCAAGGGATTAGATCTGATAGAGTGCCTGAGGAACTATGTACACAAGTTCGTGACATTGTACAGGAGACAGGGATCAAGACCACCCCCAAGAAAAAGTAGGAACTAAAGAGTCAGACATGACTGAGCGACTGAACTGAACTGAACTGGAAGTAGACTCAATACTTGTAAAGTGTAGCACCGTTCAAATATAAAATCCAGTTGATTATTAGGTATGTTACTAGCCTCAATATCTTGTCAACATGGAAATACATGTATATCAGCTGGATTCAAGTAGACCTCTCCTGTTACCCAAGCCCGAATCAGTGTAATGGTCCCTACACCTGCTTGGCTACACTCCTAGGCTTCCCTTTTCTTGTGGCCCATGAGACGTTGCCTAAAATAATCTTAACTTTTTCTCTTTCAGTCTCTGCTTAAGTAGTAGAATTCTTCTACTAAAGTCTCTTCCTTAAAAGGGTATGATTCAAGTGGTTCTTAATGGTGGCTTGTCTTAATATTTATTGCTGGCACATGGAAATTGCTTAGCTGTTGGGTATTGGTTCTAATTTTCCAGCATTGTGTTTTTTTTTTTTAAATAATGTTAACAACTTAACATGAAAATGGAACTTGAGTTGTTTTAAGTGAATTTGATCTTCTTTTTTAATGGTGACATTACAATTATTTAAAAAGTTAATATCGTTTTTATTCTTCTTAGGACTGGGAATATTTACTAAATTCAGACTACCACCAGAATGTTGAGTCTCACCTCTTGAACAGATCTTTGTGTTTGAGTCCTTTGGAAGTGTCACAGATGAAAGATGAGGATTTTTCCCAGAATCTTAGTCTGGACTCTTCTACGCTTCTCTTCACTCACATACCTGCAATTTTTTTTGTTCTTCACCTGGTCTATGAGGAGCTCAAGCTGAACACTCTGATGGGAGAAGGGGTTCGTTCACTTGTTCAACTTCTTGTCCAGCTGGCAAGGTAATGTCACTTATAGATTGCAAATTTCCAGAAGGTCATTAGATGACTTAATTCTTGGCCATGAATGTCAAATAGGAACCTTGCAAATAAGTTTCTGAATTCTACCTTCTCAAAAAAGAGCATTTTCCAGAAGCCACAGAACTGTTTGAAGAGATCCATTGTGTAAGGGCCATGGGTCAGGCTGGTGTTGCAGGTTTTTGTCCTTAGATGAGTGGAAGAGGCATGAGAGTGTGTTACACAGTGAGGGTAACCTGTTTGGCTTTCATTTTGACACCATGACTGTGGTGGAAAGTCTATAACGACACCTGCTGTTTTTATAATGATGCCTTAGATTCATATAGTGTTTGAAAGTGAAAGTTGCTCAGGCGTGTCCTACTCTTTGGGACCCCATGGACCATATAGTCCATGGAATTATCCAGGCCTGAATGGTGGCGTGGGTAGCCTTNGTGTCTCCTGCATTGGCGTGCGGATTCTTTACCACCGAGCCACCAGGGAAGCCTCTCGAGTTTGTTTTTAAGGACAGGTGTCATTTGCTAGATGTTGGTTCTCTTTGCTGGTCCTTTGTTGTCCCAGTCTGGTCTTCCCTGTCTTTCAGGCTTTTGTGGATCCACAATAAGATTGTTCTGATGGTATTTCTAACAGTCTTTTCTAGCACCTTGTGTTTGGTTCTGAACTCAAAATGTTTATACTTAGGTGTTGTTTGAGCCTTTGTGACCATTGGTGATAAAGTTAAATTTGAATTAAAATGCCAACCTCTGAGTTAAAGTTGTAGTATATTTTCTAATTTATGTTACCTTCCTTGAGATACTGACATTCTTTTCTGAGACATGACAGTTGTAATTGATGATTGGGTTCTCTTAATGACAAGGCATTACTGTGAGGAAGATACCTTTGTAATGAAATGATTTTCAAACCCTAATCATGGCTCTCCAAAATAGGTAAGATTGGTAGAATGCTTTACACTTTATAAGGTATTTCTCATACATATTATTTAATCTTAAAAGCTTGAGGGTGAGTTGACTGCTGTTCTACCATTTTTTAGAAGAAAAATTATTGAGATTCAGAAAGTTGACTTCCTGAAGATTACACAGTTAATAAATTAACAGAGGAGAAATTGGACCACCATTTTCACAGCAGTTTTACCCTCTAAATTTATCTATCAGAAGGAGTTTTGGTTTCCTTTGTCATACTAGGCACTTTAAAGTCCAGAAATAAAATACAGAGACTCTAGATGTGGTTGTCTTCTTTCTCCTAAGTAAATGTTTTAAATTATAAAGGTCAACTGATGAGTCTTCTTAAACTGTTTGGGAGAATGCCATAATACCTTGCTTGTTATTTCCTTTTATATGTTCTATTGTTTTAGGGACTTAAAATTGGAGCCTTACGTAGATCATTACTATAGAGACTACCCAACACTTGTCAGAACTACTGGACAAGTGTGCGCAATTGATCAAGGTAAGTGTTCTGCTGTTAAAGATTTTCTCAATGGTGTAGTGACCTTTGCTTGTATTTTTCTTGGTAAATAGCAGAGGATATTTTTCTTACTGATAACCTCTAAATCAGGGGTAGTGTCTTTCCACCAGGCAGGTTTTAGTTTGTAGTGTTTGCTCTGACTTGTAGTAAGCCATAGCTTCTTCAGTGTGGGGGGCAGGGATTTTCCTCATCCCCAAGGTTCTGCCTTGCAAACGCTTAGAGCTTCCAGTGCCAAGGATGCTTTGCTGTCCTGTGTGGTCCAGTTAGTAACCACCCACTGTGTGCTAGTTTAGTTAATTATACTAAAAATTCAATTCCTCAGTTGCCCTGGCCACATTGCAAATGCTCAGCGGTCATACGGGGCTGGTGGTTGCCATAGTGAACAGGACAGTTTCGTAGCCATTGTATTGTCGTAGACTCTGAGTTAAACGGACTCAGGTTGGGGCCCAGTTGTTAAAACAAAGCAGAGTCCTGGGTTTCTTGTCTTTTCTCATCATTAGAGTTAGGGCAGAAAATTTTGGTGACATTCTTTATATGCCTTGAACATAAGAATTCGCTAAATTTCCATCCAGGATCAGATAAAATATTAGTCAGTTAAATTCCACATATTATAGTGTGATCAGATACTTACTGTGGCAGAAAACATGAAGCATTTTGGAGAATATGGAAAAAGTGTTACTCTGATTGTTTTCAAATGACAGGTATTGTTGATTATCTTTCCTTTGAATTAAAACAGTATTGTTTTAGTGTATTCTTGTATCTTTATAAACATTTATCTAATTCTGAAGGTCAAACAGGATTTATGCAGTATCCATCATTTTTCACTCCTGAGCCACCTAGTGTTTATCAGTGGGTGAGTTCCTGTCTGAAGGGTGAAGGAATGCCACCCTATCCCTACCTCCCTGGAATCTGTGAAAGAGGCAGACTTGTTGTCTTGGTAAGTATTCAGTGTGTTTCCATACTTGTTTGTTTTTTCCTTTTTATCTTTCAATGTAATTAAAAAAATTATCATATAGAAAAATTACCTTTCCCCCCCATTTTGTGTATTGCTCCGTGGATTTCAGTAAATGTTGAGTTCATGTAATCCCTCCCATAATTGGAATTCAGAACGGTTCCATCAACCCCCTCAGAAAATCCCCTCCTGCTTTTGAGATTCATTCACGTATTACTGTAGCAGCAGTTCATTGCATTTAATTGCTGAGTGTTGGCTATACATTGTGTGGATATATCATGGCTGTCCATTGTGTGGATATATCAGATTGGCTTATCCATTCATCCATTGAAGACACTTTAGTTGACTCTAGTTTTTAAGCAGTTATGAATACAGCTGCCATAGACATTCATGTATAGGTTTTTTTGTGAACAAAAGTTTTCATTTCTCTAGGGTAGGTACCCAGAGGTGGGATTGATGGCCATATAGCAAGTATATATAAGATTAATATATTTAAGAAACTGTAAGCTGTTTTTCAGAGTCTCTGTTATTGTCATTGTTGTTCAGTTGCCAAGTTGTGTCCAGCTCTTCGCGACCCCATGGATTGCAGCACACCAGGCTCCTCTGTCCTTCAGTGTCTCCCAGAGTTTGCTCAAATTCATGTCCATTGAGTCCGTGATGCCATCCAACCATCTTTTCCTCTGCCACCCTCTTCTCCTTTTGCCTTCTTCCCAGCATCAGGGTCTTTTCCAATGAATTGGCTCTTTGCAGCAAGTGGCCAAAGTATTGGAACTTCAGCTTCAGCATCAGTCCTTCCAATGAATATTCAGGGTTGATTTCCTTTAGGATGGACTGGTTGGATCTCCTTGCAGTCCAAGGCACTCTCAAAAGTCTTCTCCAACACCACAGTTCAAAAGCATCGCTTCTTTGGTGCTCAGCCTTCTTTATCGTCAGACTTTCACAGCTGTACATTACTAATGGAAAAACCGTAGCTTTGACTATATGACCTTTGTTGGCAAAGTGATGTGTCTGCTTTTTAATACACTGTCTAGGTTTGTCATAGCATTTCTTCCAGGAAGGAAGCATTTATTAATTTCATATATCTGTTTCATGTATCTGTATTTCCACTATCAATGTGTGAGTGTTCCAGTTTCCCTGCATGCATCCTAGTCAGTGAATGGTATTGTCGTGATTTATAAATTTTTTCATTCTGATAGATGTGTAGTGATCACTCATTGTGGTTTTAATTTGCATTTTCTTAATGGCTAGTGATATTTTGAATGTGTCTACATAGGAGGTTTTGTCAGATACATCGGTTTGAAGTATTTTCTCCTGTGGTCTGTCATGTCCTGTTCTCTTAATGCTTCCTTTGTGGAGCACAAATGTTTAATTTTGATGCAACCAGTTTATCCACTTTTTTCTGTATGGATAGTGCATTTGGTGTCATGTCTATGAGCTCATTGTCCAAGTCAGAAAGATTTTCTCCTGTTTTTGTCCAGAAATTTTACAGTTTTATGTTTTATATTTAGATCCATGATCCATTTTGTTAATTTTTTTTTTATCAGGTGTGAGGTTTGTGTTGAGATTTTTATTCCATTTGAATGGTCAGGTTTTTTTTTAACATCAGTTGTTGGGAACACTATTCTTTCTCTTTTGCACTTTTTCAGAAATCAGTTGATGACATATTTGTAGGTCTGTCTCTGGACTTTTTATTCTAGTCTATTGGTCTGTGTTGTGGTCCACACACTCTTGATTACTGTAGCTTTATAATCAGTCTTAAAATTGCTTAGTATAACTCTTCCTTCCATTACTTTTATTTTTAAAAATTATTTTAGCTATTTTAATTCCTTTGCTTTTCCTTTAAATTTTATAATCGGCTTGTCTATAGCTATAAAAAATCCTACTTGAATTTTTTTAAATGAAATAATTTTTATTTAAAAAAATTAACTCACATTATTATACACAGTCAATCCAAAATCAGAGCTGATTCAGATAGAATCAAAGGGTGTCAGTAAAGGTAAGTTCCTTCACAATAACGTCCCTTGGTCCCCTTATACTGGAGCAGCCTGCCTAGAGGTCTTCTGTGGACCTTTCTTGAGATGGGGCTTTCCTAGACTTAATAGGAGAACCAGATCTTTTGTCTCCTGTCTCAGATATCACTGGACTAGATAAATGTCCTTGCTCCCCACCTGGCTCCTCCTTTACTCTATTTTCTGCTTCCTTCATGTTGAGAAAGGTTTCAGTACCCCCTATGGCTCTGAAATAGACATGCAGAATGGTGATTCTGCTTTTTTTAAAAAAACACTGATAAAATATACATAACATAGTATTATTTTAATTGTTTCTAAGTGTATGGTTCAGTGGCCATCAGTCCATTCACAATATATTAAGAGCAGCTCAATACTTTTTCATTCCTTGCTGCTTATGTGGAAACATTTAGGTGAATTCACCAAATACTTTGGTTCTTTACAACTCCTCTAAAATGGGGTAGACTCAGTGTTATAGCTACCCAAGAGGGAGCCAGAGATACATGAATAAGCCAAAGGTGTTCCGTGTCCACCTTACACTAGTCAACTTACAGATATTCATGTTATATCATATCTTTCATAGATACGATGTCAACTGCTTTCAGGAATCTATCATTTGTAGTGTTTGTATTGGTTTATAGTTAGGACTTGAAGACCCTCCAGCATTGTGCTGAAATTTTAATACGATCATGCTGCCACTTCTTTCCAAAAAAAAAAGCTGCAGGTGCAGATCTTAGTGCTAATAGCAAATATTCAAAGGAGAACTTTGAAGGCTGAAATGGAGAAGGGCCTAGAGGAGTAGAGAGTTAGGGTTTACCTCACCCCAAGCAAGTCAGGGTGCTAGTGGTAAAGAGCCCACCTGCCAATGCAGGAGACATGAGAGTCATGGGTTCATTCCCTGGGTCAAGAAGATCCCCTGGAGGAGGAAATGGCAACCCACTCCAGTGTTCTTGCTTGGAGAATCCCATGGACAGAGGAGACTGGTGGGCTACAGTCCACAGGGTCGCACAGAGTCAGACACGACTGAAACGACTGAGCATCCACTCAACACAAATGACCCAAATGTCGATCAGTATGTAAGTAGATAAGCAGAGGTTGGTACATATGGCTAATGGAATACCCCTCAGCAGTGAAAAGAAAGAAACTGCTGATACACACAGTAATGTAGATGAATCTCACAGAAGTGCTGAGTTAATGAAATAGGACACGGAAGACAACATGTTCTGTGACTCCATTTGCATGATACTGAAGAAGAGGCAAAATACAGGAAGAGAAAAAAGATGCATTATTTATTCGCAGTGATTCCCAAGGGCGCTCTCTGGTGTGATGCAAGCATTCTGTGTCCTGAAATGTGGTTATATGATTGTATAACGTTTGTCAAAACACAGAGCTCTATATCTAAAATGGGCTAATTTTCCTGTCTGTGCTTATGCCTCAAGAGTTTAAAAAATAATATTAAGTTTCTCCTTATGCAGAGTATTGCACTCTACATACTTGGTGACGAAACCTCTCTTTCTGATGAATCCTCACAGTATTTATCCAGAATAAGTATAGGTAAGTCAGTCAAACATTAGGATTCCCCAGACAAATTTTTATAGATGTCGGTATCAGAGTTGAAATAAAAAAATTAAAACTTTTCTGAGTGTACTTCAGGTGCTGTGTCTTGCTTCATTTTAGAGGTGACAAAATCGCATAGTTCTAGTCTTGAGTCCACAACTGACTTTCAGAGACCAAGATTACTTAAAATCTGACAAACTGCATTTTCAATATGTCTGAAAAGGGCTGTTTTAGCACCAGGGAAATGATTATACTTTCCAACCTGCCAGAGTACTGCTTATTTTATTGTTTTCTAGGAGTTCTTTATCTGTAATTTTTCTTTCCAAATGTCTTCTATATGTTGCATGCTTTCTTTACCAGGATAACTATCAAAATAAAGTTTTGTTCTGTTTTAGCCCCCCAGAAGCCACAAGCAGAACAACAGGAGAGCAGGTGACTTTTATTCAGCTTGTACTTCTACACTGTTTCATGACTTCATGTTTAATGACCTCATGTTTGTTCTCTTGCAGGTTTAGTTTCAAGCATTCTACATCAGTTTCTAGCCTAGGTGAGAGATTAGTTGTCTGGATGACTAATGTAGGTAAGGTCATCTTTGTTACCTTTCATGTGTCTTTGAAATCCTTTCCTTGGACTGCTCCTTCCTAACCAGGCCCTGTATCCTCAGAGCTCGCTAGAGCTGGGAGGCTTGAGAAGGCAGGGCCTCTCTATAGAAGGGTCCCACAGGGTTGAGATGATGGCCCCCTGAGCCACCCTTTCTTTGCCTTACAGTCTCACAGCTTCCTTCTACTAATATCTGGGGTACCAGCCTTTTCTCCTTTGGTGGGTGGAAAATCTTTGTCCTTCCTCTGAGACCAGTAGAGGCTGTGTCTTTGTAGAGTGGCCCCAGAATGGAGAATGCTAGTCACTACACATTCAGATTTGAAGCTGTTAAAATACTCAGATACCAGAAATGATTATTTCTGGCAAAATCTAAAAGTAACGTGTATATATCTTTGAGTATGCTTTTGAATGATACAGGCCAGGGTTTTTATGCTCCAAGAGGCAGATTCACCTGGGACAAGGGAAAGGAAGGCAAAGAGTTTATTCTCTCTTCCTAAAGATTGTGCCTTCGGGTTTTAAGCTGAGTAAGCTACCAAAACTTTGTATAAAAATGAACTAAAATGTTTTAAAAATATTAACACTATGAAAACATAAAAAATGAGGATGTTATAAAATAGTATGTTAGAAAGTAGTGCTTTAATGAATGTTTAATGAAACAAGAGGTTTCTGAATTCTTATTTAGAGAATATTCTAAATGACTTGAGTTTTTCACTCTTCTTTTTTGTTATGCTTCCTTGAAAATTCCAATAATTGTCATGTAGTATTACCAATAAGATACTTACGCTGAAAAATATTGGATGAGTTCTATTCATTTGTATATTACATAGTATTTAGTGTTAAGTGTCATTCTCAAATAAGGTAACATTTTTACCTCTAATTAACCAATTTTCTATGTTAATAAATATGTAAAATATAAAATTTAGAAAATCATTTCAGAAAAAATTAACCTGAGGCTGTGAAAAATTTTTAAATGAAATATGGTATACATAAAAGAGAGTGTATGAAATGTGTTCAGAGAATAGTAAAATGAACATTGATGTCCTGGTCACCCACTATTAGAAATACAGCATTGTCAGTGTAGTAGAAAGCCCTGTGGATCTAGTCCTTTATATCCTTCTCTCACACACCTTACTGCTACAGGTAACCATTGATGCAACACCCATCCTAAATTTTGTGTTACCGTCTGTCATTTTTTTTTTTTTTATCACCTTCGTATATTACTTAGTGTTATATGTTTCTTAACTTTATGTAACTCAGGGTAGATATAAGTATGTTTTTTACTACCTTATTTTCCTCAATATTATTTAAAGAGTCATCCATGTTGGCTCACGTAGCAGAAAGGCATTCATTCATTTTCACTGCTATGTAATCACAACTTATTTATCCATTCTGTTGATGATGGAAACTGGACTCTTTCCTCCCTTACCATTTTTTGCATAATGAACGATTGCTAATGAATATTTTAATGCTTATGTCCTTGTTCCACGTGCACAAGTTTCTGTGTGGCTACTGACGGACTGTAGGGGTGAACCTGACTATACACGCTGTGTTTTCCAAGGTGGTTGGACCCATATACACCACCATCCTCTGGAAGAGAATTACTGTTGCTCTATGTAGTTGCCAACACTTGGTGTTGATTGACTCTAATATATGTCTGTCAAATGAGTATGAATTTTCATTTCCTAGTGGTTTTAATTTGCATCTCCCTGATCACTCATTGGACAGAGCACCTTTTCGTATGTTTATTGACCATTTGTGTTTCCTCTTAGGGAATTGTCTTTTTGTCCTTTGATTTTCCTATTGGATTGTTTGTGCTTTTTTCTTAAAGATTTTAGGAATTTTTCCCCCCCTAAAGAAAATTGATGTCAGGATGCTGGTCTGGTAGCAGAATGAATCCAATTGGTTTCTTGCTATTTGTTAGGGTAGAGTTTACTAACTTCATTTGGAGGATTGGGATAGTGGTTAAGTCTGACCGAAGAATTTTCTCTCTTCCTTCCGTCACAAGGTTTCACTTTAAGAGACTTGGAAACGCTTCCCTTTGGAATAGCTCTTCCCATCCGAGATGCGATTTATCACTGTCGGGAGCAGCCTGCTTCAGACTGGCCGGAAGCTGTCTGCCTCTTGATTGGACGTCAGGATCTTTCCAAGCAGGCCTGTGAAGGAAACTTGCCCAAAGGAAAATCTGTGAGTATCACCATATAAAGTCCATGTTCAGTTTTAGCCTCAGTAGAATTAAGAGTAGAGCTGTCCTCCATTTTCCTTTAAGAATTTTTGCAAGTGTATGTGTCAGATTATCTTTTATATTATATGCTAGATAGATATGCCTTAAAATAGGATAAATTTTATTCATTGTAAATTGAACATGGAAATAGATTTTGTGAATGCTCTGTCTTACCTTTCTTTGCCTCAAGTCAGGACAAGTGTTGAGTCAACAGACAGCTGCCATGACTGATTCCCTGCTTGTGCCACGTTAGTAATTAACTGCTGCTGCTGTTTGTTTAGCTGGCGGCCCCATGGACGGTAGCCTGCCAGGCTTGTCTGTCCATGGGATTCTCCAGGCAAGGATGCTGGAGTGGGTTGCCATTTCCTCCTCCAGGGGTTTGTCCCGACCCAGTGATTGAATCTGCATCTCATGCATTGGCTGGCAGATTCTTTACCACTGAACTGCCAGGGAAGCCCACATCTGTCTTTTAATCTGCACTTAAGTAAGAAGTTTTAGGCGACCTCCAACTAATAAAAATAAATGGGGAAAAAAAAAAAAGAAGTTTTAGGTGACTTAGTGTTTGTCTTATTTTAAACAGAGAACCAAAATTATTTTGTTAATAATATGATTATCTTTCCCTCAGCCAAGATTAAGTCATTAGCATTTAGACCTCTTTTGTTACTATGAATGAGACCATCATTAGCCTTAAAGCCAAATGATACTGATAATCGTTCATCTGTATTTATATGTCCTTTTAAGTAATTCTGGCTAAATTCAGTTTGTTCAGTTACTTGAGGTTACATTTTGTAACTTGTCTCAAATTTAATTTATCAGCTATTTGGGTCTAAATTTTATTGCTGACTGACCAATTGGAATATAGTTTCTTTTAAAATTAGATATACCATATAAATTATAATAAATTTTTAGCAACTAAAGTCAGACTGATTTTTAGTCATATCTTCCAGTATTATTTTTTCTGGTTAATGTTGCTTTCACATTAAATGTTGCAAGATTTTAGCCTTTCATCTAGGAGTTAATCTTTTGTGAAAGGAGTAGAAAACTGTGAGAAAACAAGATTTCTGCTATATCTTCTGTTTTGAAGTCTGATTGAATCATTTGGCCTGGGAAGGTAAAGCACATGCTAAGCTTATGAGGACAGAATGATAAGCGGCAATTAACTCTCCTCACTTGTTTTGCTGCATTTAATTCCTTTCCTTTTTTTTTTTTTTTCCTTTCCTTTTAAGATACATACTTGGAACATACTTAGAACAAAAAATGAAAAGTGAAAACCAACCATGATCCATTCTGTTTAAAGCACAGAAGTGACGGCAATTAACTCTCCTCACTTGTTTTGCTGCATTTAATTCCTTTCCTTTTTTTTTTTTCCCTTTCCTTTTAAGATACATACTTGGAACATACTTAGAACAAAAAATGAAAAGTGAAAACCAACCATGATCCATTCTGTTTAAAGCACAGAAGTGAGAAAGTGTTAGTCTGACCTCCTCTAGCCCTTGGTTGATACCTTCCCCAGTTGTTTTCTTCTGCTTCTACTAATTAAAGACAGTATTTAAATTGGTGTTGGTTCTTTAGTAACATTGTGTGGAGTTAATCTTTGTTGCCAGTAATTTGTTTTCTCTTCAGAATATTTAGAATATAGTTAGATTTTTATAATTTATTTAGAATATTCCTTTCTGTGGGATCAGACTCCTGACTGTTATTCTAAGTTGAAAACTTTCCCCTTGGCTGAGTGAAGAATGTTTCCAAGTAGGCAATGCAATTAAAAAAAGATTTCTAGGTAGGAGTCCTGTATGACCTGGGAACCTAAGTCAGGCTTGCTTTGGCATATACATTTTGTTTGCATTGATGTAGGCTTGGTACCTCATCCTGTGCATCCTTATGTTCAACAAATGCGTGTTGGCTGGTTTTTAAGTTAGTATTACAACCAAGTCTGTTACTCAGGTGCTCTCATCAGATGTTCCTTCAGGAACAGAAACAGAGGAGGAGGATGATGGCATGAATGACATGAATCAGGAGGTGATGTCGTTAATATGGAGTGAAGACTTACGGGTGCAGGACGTGCGAAGGCTTCTCCAGAGTGCACATCCCGTCCGCGTCAATGTGGTGCAGTACCCAGAGCTCAGTGACCACGAGTTCATTGAGGAAAAAGAGAACAGGTAAAGGCAAATATCACCGCCGGGATTTAAGTGAAAAAATACTGATTGTGCAGCTGGAAGAATAGGCATGACTGTAGCATTCATTCACACCTCACAGGGCTGCTCAGGAAATCAAGTGGGTCGTTTCTACATAGCGCTTAGAGCACCGCTGAGTACACAGTAGAGCTCAGCGCCATCAGTCATTTTTGTTATCTGAGGTCATTGATTTTGTGATGCTGATCTTTTTCTTCCAGCCTTTTCACATTTCTGAAATCAGATTATCTGTCAGTCTGTGGGTGTCTGTAGGTGTTATGGTTTAGTTGGCAGTGCTTTTTCTTTCTTAGTACCTCATGAAATAGTGATGCATCTTAAAATCAACTGCATCTTAAACGGAAGGAGTACACGGGTTTTGTTTTCATTATTTTAATTTTGTGGTTTATGTATTCTGTTTCTGCTAAAAATATTATGGGATGTAGTATTCTGGCCTAATTCTGAATTTCCCTGATTACAAGTTACTGTGGGGCAGTTGTTCTTAAAGAGTCATCTTAGGACAGTGAAGTGTTCCTCCCCAGTGAATGAGAAAAGCAGGTATATGTATGTACAGTAAGGGAGAGAGTATGCTTGTCAATAGCTTTGTCCGCAGAGAGAGTTTTAGCTTCTTGTTAGCCTCAGAAAGGATATTTCTGTGTCTTCAGATATAGCTTGTAGTACTTCCTGGTTATAAATGCTCCTACTTCCACAATTTCTGTTTGATGCCACTTATTTTAACATAGAAGCCAGTTAAAAAGTAGTGGATTAGTTTAAAAGTATAGCCTGGAAAAGGAAATGGCTACCCACTCTAGTATTCTTGCCTGGAAAATCCCATGGGCAAAAGAGCCTGGCAGGGCTTCAGTCCCAAAAGAGTGAGATACGGTTTAGTGATTAAACAAAAACAGCCTGTAGAAGCCATTTTAACCTTGAACATAGTTGACATATAGTGCTATTAGTTCCATAAATCCTAGCCTTCGAGTAGATGAAATGACTTCAGTGTTTTCTGGAGACACCATGAAATCCACTCACCTCCAAAACAAAGACTTCTTTTTTGTTCTCCTGTGTGCAGACCATGGAGGTGGCACCAGGGCTGTGCTCACAGAAAGGGTGAGAGGAGGCTCCCAGCTAAACTGGTAATAGCACAGTGCGGATACTCAACAAATACTGTGTTTTCCTCTGGGATGGCTAGCATTATTTAAAGTAGAATTTTAGGTTTTTCTTTTTGAATATTTAGGGAGAATTGGCTTGGTTTGTAGAATAGCTGGTTTTAATTCAAAGTGAATATGAAACAGAAGAAGGAATTTGTCTCCTTCTTAGAGTTTCCAGTGGGAGTGCATGCATACTTAGTTGCTCAGTCGTATCCAACTATTGGCAACCCTTTGGATTATAAGCCCACCAGGCTCTTCTGTCCATGGGATTCTCCAGGCAGGAATACTGGAGTGGGTTGCCATTTCCTCCTCCAGGGGATCTTCCCGATCCAGGGATTGAACCTGCCTCGCCTTCATTGGCAGGAGGATTCTTTGCCTGCTAAGCCATAGAGGAAGCCCTCTAATGGGAGTCAGAGTATGAAAAAGAATAGCCATGTTTAGGGGATTCACCCCCATCTTTGTATGGATTTACTTTGATGTAGCGTTGTCTTTCACAGCACTGCTGCTTTGAGAATACTCATCACTGATTACATTCTGATTTTTTGTTTGTTAATTTTTTTTCACGTGGCGGCTTTAATTTCAATTGCAGGTTGCTCCAGCTGTGTCAGCGAACGATGGCTCTCCCAGTGGGGCGCGGCATGTTTACCTTGTTCTCCTACCACCCTGTCCCGACAGAACCGCTGCCTGTTCCCAAGCTAAATTTAACTGGTGCGTTAAATTCCGGGTCAGCGAGAGAGGAGCATGGTTAATTGTGTCTTTAGTTCTTTCTGAATTAACAATACTGTGTCTTATGCATGTCATTTTAGAAATTTTACTTACTGATTCATTATTAGTCTCTCTGCCCTTTTTGAGAAAGTAAAAGTGTCTCTCATGAACTTGTCACCAATGTGGTACTCTCACAGACCAGCATTTGAGTTAGCTCTTAGGTACAGAAAGCAAATGGTGAATGCAAATGTATTTTCTTTTATGCTGTGTCTTCGTATGTGTGTGTATGTGTGTATATAGACTTTTACAAATAATACACTGTGCATCCAATTAAAATTTACATTACTTTCAGAACATGTTTCAAACCTCTAGTGAACTGTATAACTTTGTGCAATGTTTAGAATATTTATTTTAAATATTCATCCATGACTTCAGCTATCATAGAACATTAAAAATATACAGAGATTTCAGTATATACAAGTACACAGTATAGATTAGAATCAAAACACTCAAGAAAAGAAATTTATAGAGAGCCTAGCATTATGAAGTTTATGTGCTCTTCAGTAAGTTGACCATATATTTAAATTTAGTGAATATTCTTTCCTGATTCACAGGGTAACTCAAGTGTATAAAATGATGTTTTTTTATGTAGGTATCTTTGAATGCAATTTGGAATTTTTACTAATAGCGTATAATTAGATTGCTATATATAGAGACATATATATATATATATAAGAAGTAGAGATAGAGCAAATTTATAAAGGTCTTTGTCTTTTCAAAAATACCATGTTTTCTTAACGTCTAGAGAGAAAGAGAAAAATAGGATGGTACATTTGAAATTAATATCATTGCTATCAATTACACATTGGAATTATTATTCATGTAGCCCCAGATATTATGGGGCTAAGGGTTTTGAATGCAGCAAAGTGATCTCTGTTCTCAGAAATCAGTGTAACAATTTTGATTTTCTGAATTTTCACTCTCTGCATTTTGCATTTTGTCTGACTAGGGCGGGCCCCTCCTCGGAACACGACAGTGGACTTGAACAGTGGGAATATCGACGTGCCCCCCAACATGACCAGCTGGGCCAGCTTCCACAATGGCGTGGCTGCGGGCCTGAAGATAGCTCCTGCCTCTCAGATCGATTCAGCCTGGATTGTCTACAATAAGCCCAAGCATGCCGAGCTAGCCAATGAGTATGCTGGCTTTCTCATGGCCCTGGGCCTTAACGGGCACCTCACCAAGCTGGCTACTCTCAATATCCACGACTACCTGACCAAAGTGAGAACTCGTGCTGCGGCCCCTGGCCTCGCTGCTCCCCAGGGCTGTGGCAGGAGCTCTGCAGGGTCCTCTTTGCCCTTCTTCAGGCATGCCCCCCGAGTGCATTCTTCTCAGAGCAGGCAGCGAGATCCTTCTGAAGCGTAAATTGCAACAGGTCACTTTGCTGCTCAAGCCGTTTAGTGATCTTCCATTGCTCTTAGTGTGCCTTCTGGGAACCTCTGTGATCCTCCTCACTTCTCCAGCCTACTTTGTGCATTTCTTTCCTTTGCTCTTCACACTCGAACCGTAGAGCTTGACTGTTTTAGCTCCTCTGCAAACCAGACTCTTTCTCGTGGCCTAAAACGAGTGGTTTTTATTATGTTCACATTGTTGTTGTGTATCCATCACTACTGTTAATTTTAGAACATCTTCGTCATCCCATGAAGGAACCCCCCTACCTAGTAGCAGTCAACTGTTCCCCTCTCCCTCCAGCCTGACAAACTGCTCATGTACTTGATGTCTCTGTGGGTTTACCAATATGGACCTTTCATATAAATGAAACCAAACAGTAGGTGGTCTTCTATGGCAGGCTTCTTTTGTTTTCTGTAATGCTGTCAGTGCTTGTCCATGTTATGTTAATACCATGCATTAGCTCACCATTCCTTTTTATTGCTGAGTAGATAATCACTGTTTGGATAGACTTTATTTTCCCATTTATCGGTTGATGGATATTTGAGTTTGTTCTACTTTTTGACTGTTATGTGTAATACTACTATGAACATTTTGTGTGGATGAATGTTTTCATTTTTCTTCTGTATATTTCTAGGAGTAGAATTGCTGAGTCATTTGGTAACTCTTTTTAAATTTTTTAAGAATTACCAAACTGTTTTCCAGGATAGCTGCACTGTTTTATAATCCCACAAGCAATACGTAAGGGTTCCAATTTCTCTCCATTCTTGCCAACACTTGTTATTATCCGTCATTTTAATTTTAGTCACCCTAGTAGGTGTGAAGTAATATTTCATCGTGGTTTTGGTTTGCGTTTATTGCCCTGATGGCTAATGATACTGAACATTTTTATATGTGCTCATTGGTCATTTATATGTTGTCTTTTGAGAAATGTCGGTTCAAATCCTTTGCTTAGTTTTAATTGGTTGAGTTATAAGAGTTCCTTATGTGTACCAGACCATTAACAGGTACATGATTTGCAAAAATTTTCTCCCATTGTGTTGTCTCTTGGGTTGTCTTTTCACTTTCTGGTAGTGTCTTTGAAGCACGAAAGTTTTTAATTTGATGAAATCCAGTTCATCTAGGCTTCCCAGGCAGGCACACTAATGCCTGCCAGTGTAGGAGATGCAAAAGATGTGGGTTTGATCCCTGGATCGGGGAGATCCCCTGGAGGAGGAAATGGCAACCCGCTCTAGTATTCCTGCCTGCAGAGTCCCACGGCCAGAGGAGCCTGGCGGGCTACAGTCTGTAGGGTCACAAAGAGTCGGATATGTCTTAGCTGCTAAACAGCGGCGACAACAACTCATCTGTTTCTTCTTTGGTTGCTGTGCATTTGGTGTCTTATCTAATCAGTTATTGCTTAACCCAAGGTAACTTGGGTTTATACTTGTTATGTAGATTTGCAGTCGTATTTTTTAAGAGTTTTTTACTTTTAGTTACATCTTGAAGTTAATTTTTATGTCTAATGTAAGGAAAGAAGTCCAATTTCCTTCTTTTGCAAGTGGCTCTACAGTTGTTACAGCACCTTTTTATGAAAAAACTCTTCCCATTGAAATGTCTTGACATGCTTGTCATCAACCGAGCATCATTATTTTTGAATCATCTTGGCATTATCTGCATGTATTCCCTCACCTGACATCATTTTCTCTTACTTTCTAAATCTCAGTGACACCCCTCCCCCAACTTTTGCCACTTTTCCTGGCTAACTTGTACTCATTCTGTTGTAAGTTTACTTTTTGGAGATGTCTAATGATACCCCGGTTCCTCTTAATCTAAATTAGGCTCTGTTAGAAATAGACTCACAGACATAGAGAACAGACTTGTGGTTGCCAAGGGGGAAAGGGGGAAGGAGAGAGATGGATGGGAGGTTTGTGGTCAGTAGATGCAAACTGTTACATTTAGAAGATAAACAACACGGTCCTACTGTATAGCACAGGGAACTATATCTAGTCTTCTGACGTGAGCCATAATGGAAAAGAATATAAAAAAAGAATGTACACATGTGTATAACTGAGTTACTTTGCGGTACAGCAGAGATTAGGCACAACACTGAATCAACTGTACTTCAATTAAAATAAATTAGGGTCTGTTAAAATATTCATGTAATCTTTATCTTTTTCATTCAGTGAGTTTTTAATAATATATATTTGTTAGCTTAACACATTTTCTCCCCCAGGGGCACTAACTTCATGAGAGCAGGGACCATTTCTGTTTACTTTGCTTGTGTATTCTTGGAGCCTGTCACTGTGCTTGTCACATAAAAGTACTTAAAAGTACTGGAAGGAAGTATTTTGCGAAAGTTGCATATTTGTTTTGGTAGTGACTTAAGTCACTGTTCCCTTTTCTGTCTTAGGGTCATGAGATGACAAGTATTGGACTCCTTCTTGGTGTGGCTGCTGCTAAACTAGGCACCATGGATATGTCAGTTACCCGGCTTCTTAGCATCCACATTCCTGCTCTCCTGCCCCCAACGTCCACGGAGCTTGATGTTCCTCACAATGTCCAGGTGGCTGCAGTGGTTGGCATCGGCCTTGTGTATCAAGGGACAGCTCACAGGCATACTGCAGAGGTCCTGTTGGCTGAAATAGGTATGACTTTAATAGCGCTAATGGTTTTGTAAGTGTTTATTTCCCATTCCACAGAAGCCAAAGTAAAATGATAGTAAGATTATAGAAAGGAAGGAAAAAATAGTACCTTTTGTAAGCATAGAATGAGCTACACTAATAAAGAAAAAATTATAGATAGTGTTTTCCAAGGCTTATGTTACTCTGCAGGTTATTAGTCTGCATGCTTACTGTTTGCCAGCCCATTACTGAGCTCACGTGGCCCCATTCAATGAGGTGGCCTGTGGTCTGTTTTTTTGGAAGGGGGTTGTGCCATGCGGCTTGAGGGATCTCTTCCCTGACTAGGGATTGAACCCAGGACCCCAGTAGTGGAAGCACAAAGTCCTAACCTCTGGACCGCCCTGGAATTCCTGCCTATGGTCTTAATCACATGTGAGCATGCTGTTTATCCTGCTGTATCTTTGCCAGGCATTGTCCAGCAGTGGTCTGCACTTACAAATTCAAAGTTGATTTGATCCCTGAAAGCACAGTGTTTATTCTCTTGGACAGCAGCACTTCTAACAGAATGGCAGTGATTGACGCCTCCTTTTCTCCTTTATGTACTAGTGTGTATGTTAGTGATGAAACTTAGTTGTTGTGTTTTCAGCTGAGTCTCCATTTTTTGGAAATGTGTCTTGGATGTTGTCATCTTTTTCTGACAAATGGAGATGCTCTTAGCATTATTAGTGCATTCAGTAGTTTAGATATGTACTTACATGTATCATTCTGCCCTGTTCAGGATCTTTCTATATGTATTTCAGGATTGCCACAAAATTGGCCTGGGCCTGTTGGCTTCAGGCTCTAGATCTATGGGTCTGATGCTCAGACTCTGCTCGAAATAACTTTTTCTGGGATCCAGACTGGAGGGTGTGCTGCTTTTATGGTGATGACAGAAGGGCAAGTGGGAGAACCAAATAATCGAGGCATGTTTTGCACCTTTGCTTATATTATGCCAGCCAGGCTCCTAGGTCAAAGCCGGTCATGAGTGTTCATGTACACTGGGAGACTCTATCAGTAGAGTGTATGTTTATATAAGAGCACTGTAGGGCAGGAACGAATTGGGATCAACAATGTAGTCTACTATCAGTTTAGTTCAGTTGCTCAGTTGTGTCCGACTCATTGTGTCCGATACTGTCTAGGTTGGTCATAACTTTTCTTCCAAGGAGCAAGCGTCTTTTAATTTCATGGCAGCAGTCACCATCTGCAGTGATTTTGGAGCCCCAAAAAACTCTGTCATGGTTTCCATTGTTTCCCCATACATTTGCCATGAAGTGATGGGACCAGATACCATGATCTTAGTTTTCTGAATGTTGAGTTTTAAGCCAACTTTTTCATTCTCCTCTTTCATTTTCATCAAGAGGCTCTTTAGTTCTTCTTTACTTCCTGCCATAAGAGTGGTGTCATCTGCATATCTGAAGGTTATTGATATTTCTCCCTGCAGTCTTGATTCCAGCTTGTGCTTCATCCAGCCCAACGTTTCTCATGATGTACTCTGCATATAAGTTAAATAAGCAGGGTGACAGTATACAGCCTTGATGTACTCCTTTCCCTATTTGGAACCAGTCTGTTGTTCCATGTCTGGTTCTAACTGTTGCTTCCTGACCTGCATACAGGTTTCTCAGGAGGCAGGTCAGGTGGTCTGGTGTTCCCATCTCTTTAAGAATTTTCCACAGTTTATTGTGATCCACACAGTCAAAGGTTTTGGCATAGTCAATAAACCAGAAGTAAATGTTTTTCTGGAACTCTCTTGCTTTTTTGATGATCCAGCAGATGTTGGCAGTTTGATCTCTGGTTCCTCTGCCTTTTGTAAATCTGGCTTGAACATCTGAAAGTTCACGGTTCATGTACTGTTGAAGCCTGGTTTGGAGAATTTTGAGCATTACTTTGCTAGTGTGTGAGATGAGTGCAATTGTGCGGTAGTTTGAGCATTCTTTGGCATTGCCTTTCTTTGGGATTGGAATGAAAACTGACCTTTTCCAATCCTGTGGGCACTGCTGAGTTTTCCAAATTTGCTGGCACTTCAGTGTATCATTCAACTGGAATTCCATCACCTCCATTAGCTTTGTTCATAATGATGCTTCTAAGACCCACTTGACTTTGCATTCCAGGATGTCTGGCTCTAGGTGGGTGATCACACCATCGTGATAATCTGGGTTGTGAAGATTTTTTTTGTACAATTCTACTGTGTATTTTTGCCACCACTTCTTGATATCTTCTGCTTCTGTTAGGTCCATACCATTTCTGTCCTTTATTGTACCCATCTTTGCATGAAATATTCCCTTGGTGTCTTAATTTTCTTGAAGAGATCTTTAGTCTTTCCTATTCTGTTCTTTTCCTCTATTTCTACTATAGTGGTGAAATAAATACAAAACAAAATTTCCTGTTACCAAAATATGTAATAGCTTAAGTGATTGGTCTGAGAAATAGAAGGTCCTCAGGACTGGCTTTAAAAAGTTATTCATCTATGGGGTAGTGTAACGTTCTTTGGCTGTATCATGATGATATCTAATGCTAATATCACACATATCTCACAGCCTTAGCTCTTTCATACTGTGTATAGAAGATTGTATATTACCTATGAAAGATTCATGTGGATTCATAGGCATATGCTCTTTGTATAATTAGAAGATACCATTTTTGTACTGTCCTTTTCATATATTATTATCATAAATGGCTTTTAAAATTAATTTTATATTGTGTAATAGCTCATTGAGTTGGTGTTCTCTAAACTGCCCAATCATTTTCTTATTTTCAGGAGCTTTAGGTGGTTTTTAATTCTTTGCTGTTAAGCAATAAACATTTGACTGATTGCATGTATATAATTGTTCTCTGAAAAAATTTTTTCTAGGGATGAAATTCTAGGAATGTGAACTTTTTTTTGGATATAATATATATAATATAATGCATTTTGCTGCATTTTAAAGGGGGTGGAGTTAGAATTAAAGGGTACTTTTTAAAAGTATGAATTTTACATCCAGTCAGACTTTTGGCATCAGTACAGAAAAATTCTATCATAGTAGAGGTTAGTATTATATAGATTCATACTAAGTGTCTGGATCTGGAAGTTGGTGATGGACCCGGAAGTCTGGTGTGCTGCAGTCCATGGGGTTGCAAAGAGTTCGACATGACAGAGCAACTGAACTGAACTGCATGGTTAAGAATTAAAATTCTGAAAAACTTGAAGTGTCCTTCCTGTTCATTATCAGTATTTGAACATGTGTTTACCACATCTAATGAATGAATTTGAAAATAGTAAAACAAGAACAAAAGGAAAGAGGAAAGAAATTATAAATTGAAGCTTTTTTGAGCATCCCTCCCCATTAAAACTTCTTCCTACTCTTTGGTAATTTTTTTTAAGTTTTATTATAGAGCCCAAGGTTTTGCAGTATTTTAGAGTCATTCCTTTCACATTGGCAGATGAGAAGAACTGTGTTTGGGTTTTATTTTGTAGTAAGCCAGCAGTCGTGGACACCATTGGTGAGGACGTCAGATCTTTCTCAGTGGGGTTGTATTGAATTCATAGCTCTTACGCAGCTTACTGCAAAGTTAGCTCTAAAGCTTTCACGACGTAGGCTCTGAAGGAGACCAGCCTGACCGCATTGCTTTCTGTTTTGTAGGACGGCCCCCTGGTCCAGAGATGGAGTACTGCACGGACAGAGAGTCGTACTCCTTGGCTGCCGGCCTAGCCCTGGGAATGGTTTGCCTGGGGGTGAGCAGAGTTCCTGCCTTCAGATGCTTCAGTGACAGCATCTGCTTGTCGAGACAGCACCCTTGACTCATTGCTCTGAATGCTGCTCTGCCCTGCTGTGCCTTAGCTGACCCTGATTCTGAGCAGCTCTTTTCTTCTTTTGGGATATTTTTCAAAGTGTCAGATTTGGGAATGGATAGAAATTATAGTGAAGAGTAGGGCTTTCAGATTTCTTGACCCCAGCTTAGATGTAAGTGTTTATGAATGAGCCCTAGGAATGAAATTTCTCAGAAAGATTTCAAGACGTAAGATGAAGAAGTGACAGCCCTCTCAGTCAGAAACCAGTGAAAACATGAGTCTGGTGGGAAGCATCAAGAGTCTGTAGAAGTTACTAGAGATAAACCAGAGTTGTCTTTTGGCACCTTGATATCCCAGAAGGTCACCCCGCTAGCAGCTGTTTTGTTAGAGAATGCAGTATCACTCTGACCCATCTTTAACCCCATTCAGGAGACACGGTATAGAATTACTAGAAACATTTCATTAAATGACTATGTCAGCTGGAATGTGGGTTCTTTGATTAACCTCCAATACAGAGTTATACTGAAACTAAATTATATAAAGAAAGCTGTCAGTTAGGTTTTTGACTCTTCACATCTGACACATGAGCTAAGGAGGCAGATGATACAATGAAAACAGCGTCGCGCTGAGAATGGGGACCTGAATTCTGGCTCTGACCAGAGTCACATATCCTAGCTGCCGTGTGGTCTGGTAGTTAAGCAGCTCCCTAGACTGGAGCCAGGCTACCTTGTTTTAGACCCGCTGCTGCTCCTGAGTAGCTGTGTGACCTTGGGTGTGATCTCTCTGTGCCTCCCTTTCCTCACCTGGAAAACAGTGGCTGTTTGATAGGCTTGTCCTCATGTTAGGTAAGGTAACCCATGTTCAGTGCACAGAATCGCACCTAGAGGAGAGTTAAGTGTTCAGAAAGTTATATTTATTACTATGGTTATCATTGCTGGAATAGTTCATAGGCACAATAATGAAACGATCGAGATGTTCATAGTTCAGGTTTCATTTACCTACCTAACAATTTCTTTAACTGTTAGTGAAATTAAGTATATTTTGAAGCTTGTGTGTATTTTATGAAATGAAAGTATTAATTTGCATGTGTATTATATAATTTTTAATGTGAATTATTAGTAAACTGAGTATTAACTCATGAGAAATGTTTAATTGATTAAAAACCCTAAATACCCAGCTTTGAAGCTGTTGGGTTCAGACAGGTCTTTCTCTGTAACATCTCCTTCCACGTCTGTTCCCTTGTTATCCAGCATGGCAGTAACCTGATAGGTATGTCGGACCTCAATGTGCCCGAGCAGCTCTACCAGTACATGGTTGGAGGGCACAGGCGCTTTCAAGCTGGGATGCACAGAGAGAAACACAAGTCACCGAGTTACCAGATCAAGGTAGGTGCAGATAAGCAATAGATCAGAGTTCTGGAGACTAAGGAATTACTTTAAAAAACGGTAGTTTTCATATCAGCATTTGTAGATATGTTAATTTTAAGCATGGCTAGCGTTCAGAAGAATTTTAGAGTAATTCAAAGCTCTTTTACACAAATAAACTTTTTCTTTTGATAGGAAGGAGATACCATAAATGTGGATGTGACTTGTCCAGGTGCCACTCTCGCTTTGGCCATGATCTACTTAAAAACCAATAACAGGTACCGAGTCTGCCCACCCATCCCTTGCCATGACAGTGTCACTGCCTGTCTGACCTCAGTTGATTTTGAATTGCTCCATCACCTAATTATGTCTTGACTTTTTGCCACCCCATGGACTGTAGCCTGCCAGGCTTCTCTGTCCGTGGGAAGTTTCTGGCAAGAATACTGGAGTGGGTTGCCATTTCCTCCTCCAGGGGATCTTCCTGACCCAGGGATTGAACCCACATCTCTTGCATCTCCTGCAGGTTCTTTATCACTGAGACACCTGGGAAGCCCCGCTCTGACCTCAGTAGTGACACTAAATTATCTTACTGTGTATACCTCACAGTAAAACTATGTGCTAGATTAGCCTGACTTTAGTGCTCTCAAATTCTGCCAGTTATTTTAATATCTGACAATACGGTTGCCAATTTCTATTCATTTTTATAGTTGATGTCACTGATAAACAATGTCCAAATTCCTTTTCATTAATTTTGCATGTTGTTGTGGGAGCTGATGAAATCAGAAATACTTAACATTGTTATATTCCTGGTTCCCATCCATAAAAATGGTTTCTGCTTAATTCAAGAGCTTTCTTAACGACCATACCTTCTCCCTTCCCAACCCCCGTAACTAGTGTTGGCACTTGAAAGTAGATGTTTGGCATTTTATTCTTTTACATTTTGCATAGAAGAGTAAGTTGGGTTTTAAGTCTTTTGATTTAAAAGCACTGTTTGAGATTCAAGAAATTTTTTATTATTGTAAATTCATTTTTTAGACAAAGTGAATGTTTGCAAAATTAAGGATTTAAAAGCAGATTTATTCATCTACTGTTTACATGAAAGTATATGGCATTGCCTTCTTGACACTGGAGATATTTCAGTGAATAAAATAAATACTTAGGTTATAGTAAGGCATACATATGTACCAGATATTACTTTGGAGGATGTGAAGTATTGTGGGGAAAAAATAGAGCAGTAGTTGGAGTGGAGAGAAAATTCCTGAAATCTGTCTTGTGATGCTTGACTGTCTGACTCTCTTCTTGAGCAATAATGCTTTTGTTGGCGTCCACCACCAACAGATCCATTGCAGACTGGCTCCGGGCTCCAGATACCATGTATTTGCTGGACTTTGTGAAGCCAGAATTCCTCTTACTGAGGGTATGGTACTTCGCAGGTTTTCATTTCTCTTAATTTGAGGAGTCTCTATAAAATGTCTCCATAAGCCAGCCTTTACTGTTAATCCATCATGTATGTATATATATAATTTTTAGTATTCTTTTGAATATTCCCAAATATAGCTGTAGGAATTCCTAAGTAAGGTAACCACATTGACAGGTAATACTTGGAATAGCATTTTAACTTTCACATTATTATTCACAGTTCCTAATGAGCAGCAACTCAGTGGGGCTTCATTACTGCTTTATTTTACATTTGCTCATTGTCTTTAGGAACACGGTGATACTACTAAAGGTATAATTAGCGATAGTAATTGCCTGACACAACTACCTCAGAATTTTCCTTTTGACATTTAAATGTATGTTTTTAGCATACGATAGGCTTTAAATTCTGTAGACGTTGTTTTCCTTATGGCTTTTCATTTATGGGGCAAGTTTTAAAAACTTTTCTCCAACTCCTCCAAACTTCGATTGTGATCAACTCAGTTTTAGATTTTTTTGTGATACATCAATTGGGTTGGCCAAAAGCTTCATTTGGATTTTTCTGTAACATCTTATGTAAAAATGTGAATGAACTTTATGGCCAGCCTAATAAACCTTCAGTTTATTTTAGTGAGTGGCTTAGGTTGATACTGTATACTTAGCTTTATTTTGAAAATTTCCATCAGTTGGGAACTAATTCTTAAATTGTTCTGTTACTGATATTATCATTACAAAATCTGTGAACTTCCCCTGCTGTAATTAATTTTTTTGTATTTCATTTTTAAGACGCTTGCTCGATGCCTGATTTTGTGGGATGATATTTTACCAAATTCCAAGTGGGTTGATAGCAACGTTCCTCAAGTACGTATGTATGATAAATATTATTTTATTTTTAATCATGTAAAATTATGATTTCTTGGGATTTTCTAAAACCCTGTAAAATACTTCTTTTGAAGACAATATTGATGATTATGATATTTCTTCAAAACACAGGAACTTTCGTTTTAAGATTGTATGCTGAGCACAGAGCACAACCTTCCTTAGAAGGTTAGAAACCTAAGAAACACTTAGAAACCTAAGTGTTTTTGACATTTTTATTCTGGTTAAGTATGCATTTATCAAAGTTAGTACTTCGTGACAATTTTTTGTCTTGTATATAATAAGTTGTTTTAATTATTTTATGGCATGTTTTAATTCTTTTATGGCATGTTTTAATTATTTTATGGCATATTTACCCAGTAAGCCAAGTAGTTAAAAAAATAAGCAGACTCTTGTAAAAACTCTAAATATTGTAAATATTGTAACTAAATATTGCCCTTTAATTAACTGTCCATGTCCTTGTTACTGTTTTATTTGAAAAATAAATCCTTAAGAGTGTTAGAATGCTCCTCCAATGTTTTAATAAGAAAATTCCAAAATGAAGGTTGAAAGAATGTTATACAAACACTCATACAGCCAGATGGCTTCTGCAGTTAATATTTTACTGTATAAGCTTGCCTGATGTAGAACTTTTTATTAATGGAGTCACAGTATATACCCTTTTGTATAAGACTTCTTTCATTTAGCATGGTTTTGAGATACTACTGAGTGTGTCAGTAGTTCAGCCTTTGTTGTTAAGTAGTATCCTGTTGTATGAATATACCACAGTTTCTTTTTCCATTCTCTTTTCCCATTCACACCTGGGTTGGTTCTAGGTTTTGGTTATTATCAAGCTACCATAAATATAATTTGTGGACTTATATTTTAATTTCTCTTGAGTGTTTACTTAGGATTGGAACTACTAAGGCATACTGTGGACGGTATATTTAGTTTTCTAAGGACAGGTAAACTTTTCTCCACAGACATTGCACCATTTTACCCTTGTAACAATGGTGTATGAGAATGCTGACTGCTGCCCATCTTGCCAGTGGTGTTAGTCTTTTTAATTTTAGCTCTGCTCTCTAATACATAATGATATTTTCCTGTAGTTTCATTTTGCATGTAGAGAAAGTTTTCATTTGCTTATTGCTTCTTCATATGTCTTTTTTATTAAGTGTCTATTTATATCTTTTTCCTGTTAAAAAAAAATTTTGTGTGTCTTACTGAGTTGCTAGAATTTTTAATATATTCTGGAAACCTGTCCTTTGTCAAATTGATGTTTTGCAAATGTCCCTCCTAACCTATGGCTTGCCCATTCATTTTCTTAGTAACACTTTTGATGAGCATAAAATTTAAAAAATTTGATAATGCCTAATTTATCAGTTTTTAATTTTATAGTTGATGCTTTTTTGTGTCCTTGGGAAAAAAATTTGACTAACCTGAAGATTTTTTTTCTAAAGCCCAGTGTTTTGGCTTTTATGTATAATTATGTAATTTATCTCAGTAATTTTGTTTTTGACATGAGGATAAGGGTTAAGCCTTCCATTTTTAAAAAAAAAATATTTAGTTGTGCCAACGCCATTTGTATTCCTTCTTTTCCTTATTGTATTCCTGTGATTCCTCTGTCAAAAATCAGAAGACTATTGTATTTTATATCATTTCTACAGATTGCATAGTTTCTATGAATTTATCTTTATGTTCACTTACTCTTTTTCAGGCATTTCATTTTCCTATTTAAGTCCATTAAGTGAATTTAAAATTTTCATTTTTGTACTTTGCTGTTGTAAAGTTTGCATTTTTCCTTTTTAAGTAATTTCTACTTTTTTCTTTTTTTAATATAACTTTTTTTTTTAAGTTTCATACTTTTTCTGATGAGATTTTCTATCTTTTCATTAATTATGAGCATATTATCCTTCCAGTTAGAAAAGCTGCTTTAAAATCCTTCTCTTCTCATGCCAAGAGCATGGTCATTTCAGGATGATTTTCTATGGTCTTTTCTCCTGGAAGTATGTCGTGTTTCTTTTTCTTTTGTGAAGTAATTTTGATTTGTGTCTGAGACATTGTACATTTTTTTTTTAAACCCATGTATTTGGAAATTAAATGTCCACTTTTAAATGATTGCTGTATCTAAGAAGCCATGACAAGGAAAATTAGAAAATATTTGTAACAGAGTAAAAACGTGCATGTTGCTTTTTGAAGACTCGAGTGTCTGTTGTATTCCTCTGTGGAGTGTTGATACATACGTACATACATGCATACTTATCTTTATGTGTGTGTATACATAAATACATATACATACACACACAAATCATTTTGCTTTAAAGCAGCAGTTAATTTACTTGGAATCAAATGTCAAACCCTGTTTCTTGGGTGCCAGTTCTAATGTCAGTTGAGTTCTTCAATTCTGTGGGGGCTGGGTCTGCCCTGGTCACATGATTCGTGGGTTAAGCAGACATTTAACTCCTTGCATATTTAGATGTCAGAAGTAGCAGTTCTTCTGGTAAGTATGCTTTTAAATGTACATTGTAAGATGAAATTATACTTTTTCTTCTATTCCTTCATTCAGCATGTTTGTCAATCCTTTGCAAATGCAAGACAGCATCCTAAATTCTATGCTACATTTAAGATGCATCTGGCATGTAGACTGATTTTGAGAAGACTTTATTACTAAGTTTAGTTTTGTTTAGTTTTTTTAGTTTTCAAAGTGAGGTTAAACATGTAGACAAATAACTATTTTCAAATGGAAAGTGAAAATTCATGTAAGTTCTTTTTTTATGTAACTTCTTTTTTAAAAATTTTGTGGAAATGTAGTCCTTGGACTTTAATATAGTTATCTCTCTGACATTCCTTTTACTTGAGACTTAATAATTTTAAATTTGGTCTTTATTGTATGAGGGTTGCCCAGTGGGGTATGTAACGAGTTCACAGCTCTGTTGGTTGATATGCCTCCCTCTCCTTTCTCCTGGCTCCCACCCAGTTATCTCATTGATTCTGTAGCTGGGCCACTTGTAGGAAGCAACTTCGCATCAAAAATGGGTTAAAAAGGTCACTTTATAAACTGCTTATTTGCTTGAACTTAAGGCATGTATCAAATACAGTAACTAACATCTTCATAAAAAAGCTTTACTCGGCAGCCTGCTTCTCTTTTTCTTTCTTTCTTTCTTTCTTTTTTCTTCAATGTTGTGTTATTAATTGTTCAAGTATTGCCCCAGTGTATGGGTGGGAACGATGTACTGCTTTGGATTATTGTATGTCAGGACTCCTCAAGGCCAGCTACCGGATCTTTTCCATCTTTCATTTCTAGCAACTTGCACACAGTAGCTAGAACTCAGTACCTCACCATTACGTTGAGAGAGGACAGACTGGTCCAAAACCACCCTTGCTATTAAGAGGTGGGGCAAAACTGAAACCAGCTGTTAGGCCTTCAGAGCTTGAGGTGTTTTTTTTTTTTCACTATTTATTTATATTTATTTTGTTGCGCTGGGTCTCGGTTGCAGCGTGCGGGATCTTCGGTCTTTGTGTTGTGGCATGCAGGATCTCCATTTGTGGTGTGCAAACTCTTAGTTGCAGCATGTGGGATCCAGTTCCCCTACTAGGGATCAAACCTGGGCCCTTTTTGCACTGGGAGTGTGGAGTCTTAGCCACTGAACACCAGGAAAGTCCTGAGAGCTCAGGATTTTTGTCTTAGACTTCCCTAGGGGTCCAGTGGCTAGGACGCCACGCTCCCAGTGCAGGGGGCCCGGGTTTGATCCCTGGTCAGGGAAATAGATCCCACATGCTGCAACTGAAAGATCCTATATGCCACAACTAAGACTTGGCACAGCCAAATAAAGATAGATTAGGGGAAAAAACAAGCAGCGTGGTGGTCTTTTCTTGTTCGTTCCTGTGCACCTCAGCCTTCTTATAAGTGATTACATGTTTCCCTTTGATTTCTCCTTACATTTCTTACTATTTTTTTTAAACTTATGAGGCTGTAGAAAAGACAACAAGGGCTAGGCTGTTCCCTGCCTCCCACACACAGTTATTATAACTCAAGTTTTTATTGATGCTTTTAAGTGGTTTATGATCAAGTGTGATCATGTGATAAGAATGGTACAGATCTATAATAATGATAATAATAGGAGCTAACACAAAGAATATGTGCCAGGTATTAATTTTAAGAGCTTTGAGTAGGTTAAGTCTTCTAATTTGCACAGAAATCTAGAAGGTAGGAATATAATTTTTGCTTGTTTTGCAGATGTGGTCCCAGGGCTAATATGTGGCCCTGCTTCGATTAGAGCCTAGGCCTTTTAAGTGCCAGGCTATATGCTTTTGAAGATAAAAAGGAACTTGTAACTGCCTGCTTTCAAAATAGAAATATTTGATTCCTGTATGATATTATTGCTAATTTATATAGTGAATGTTATAATTAGGTTATCCATGTATATATTAACTGCTTACTTTGGAGTTATATCAGTTTTTCAGAATGTCATTCAATTTCTAAGTAGATACATTCCAAGTTAAAAATAAAGACAAGAGGAAGAAAGATGGAAGTAGTTATCAGCCTGTATTACATAGCCAACATAGTTGCTTACCTCATTGAGATTATGAAAGGGAGAAGGTATTTCAAGGTTTTTTCTTGATTTGGTGGTGTCCAGTACATAAGAAGATTGTATCATAAGCGACTCTGAATACTTATTGGTTTATTATAGAAAGCATCCTGAAATGTCTTCTAAAAAGAGTCAGGAATAAATAAATCTTCATAGTTTTTCTTCTATGTGCTTGCATTCATAAGTTTTAGAAAATATACAGCTTTATCTTTTTTATTTGTATTTAAGTGAAGAGAAATCAGTTCGTGGTTTTAAAGTTAGATATTCTCTGTATTTTTTAAAAAATAAATTCCTGTTCATACTAAAAGGAAAGAGATGGGTTTCTAAACAATAGTTAACAAATTAGCATATTGACAGTTTGGGTGATTAGTATGGTAACTAACCTGATCTTTGGTAGGTAGGTAGGCTTACTGCTGGAAACAGTCATGGGTCAGAAGTGTATGTCTCTGGCTGAGTTCTCTCCAGCTGTTTTTTCCTGCTTTCCCGCTGCTTCCCCTCCCTCCTGCCCCAGGTCTCCTCTGTGGCCGTCACCTTTGCATTTCAGTTCACTGGCGTGAAATAGTACTCTGTTACTGCTTCAGAATATATTCAAGTTGTCCAGTTTATATTTGTTCAGTCCTGTTGAGGTATTTGCCCCATCTTAGATCTGAAATTGGATTGCAGTCAGTGTGATTAAAATATAGGCCTTTGAATGAGATGGTTTGGTAAAGCTTACGTAAATATGACCATAAGCAGTATGTTATTATTCAGGTTACTGGATACTTGGAACTTGAATGTTAATATCCAAGTGTTCTGCTTTCTGTCTTGACAGATTATAAGAGAAAATAGTATCTCTCTCAGTGAGATTGAATTGCCTTGCTCAGAGGATTTGAATTTGGAAACTTTGTCGTAAGTCCTGAAATATCTAATATGCATTAGCTATTCCAGTATCTGTCAGATAAATGAGTTGAAATTTATTGTGCAAGAGAAATGCTGGCCTTGATTTGAGTGATTATTCTAAATTCCCCATGTTCCTAACCATGGTTTATCAGATGTTCAGAAGTTTGTTTTATTTCGCTCTCTAGAGCATAGAATTTTTACCCTCATAAAATAGCGTCAGAGATTTAACTTGTGTATATTCCTTTTTTTATCCTTTTCATTAAAAAATTTCCCAGTGATTGTTAGAAATTATCATCTTTTGCTGCATATGAGACAGTGCAGGCATGAGGCAGACTTTATCAGCTAGAGCCACATGGTGCTTCTGCTGAAGGGAAGCAGATGGAAACCTGTCCAGTTGATTGAGTATAGGCACATTTGAGCATTCCCGGAAATAAACTAATTTAGAGAACAGGAGTATTTATTATTTGCGTCCCCAGACAATAGTAATAATGAATTTTAAAGCAAAGCAAGGAGAGTATTTCAATCTGTTGTGATCTGTTTTCAGGCAGGCACATGTCTACATCATTGCAGGAGCTTGTTTGTCTCTGGGTTTTCGATTTGCTGGTTCAGAAAACTTATCAGCATTTAACTGTCTGGTAAGAAATATCTCCATCTACTCTGTTCTGTTTTGTTTTTTACGGAGCCTTAGTATGCGTCTTTTAACCTAAAATTTTTTCTTTTGTTTTTTTTCCAGCATAAATTTGCAAAAGATTTTATGACTTATTTGTCTGCACCTAATGCTTCTGTAGTAAGTCTTTTTATGATGGTTCTCCTTGGGAATAAAATTAAACTTGAAGAAAATTCACTGACAATTCAACTACTTATGTGTTGCTAAATATCTATACAGTCTTTGAATTTAGAATGGGAGATTTGAGGCTTTGGCTCTTTGTATTTTAGTTCTGGGATATTAGTTAGTTGAGAATGTGACTACCCTTAAAGGCATTTATTTCTTATGATGAGAGAATAATTAAGAAAAGCCATGACCTTCATGGATTGTCATATCTTATGCCATTCTCAGTACTGAATGTTGATAACTGCTTGTTGGAGAAATTACCTAGAAAAAATACAGTTGCTATTGAGGATTGCTGCTCTGATGATAGTAAGACCACAAGGTTTTATTTCCTGGTTAAAAAAACACATTTAATTAACATTATTTATATTAGAAAATTGGCAGCATCAAAAAAATCTAAAAGTAGTCAAAAAGTGGACTATGGTATATCTGCATTGTTATATAGGGGAGCTATCAACAGCATGTTGTGTAAGAATTTTTACTAGTGAAGATTGCTTATAATAAAATAGATTAAAAACTTAAAAATACTATATGTAATAATATCTCAGTTCCATTTAAAAGATAGATACTATAGGTAAGATTTGGGGAAAAAGCCAAAATGTTTATAACTTTTAGTATTCCAAGTAATTGTTATTTCCTTCTTGATACCTTATTGTCTGAACTTTCCACCTGGAACTTAAATTTCATAATCAGAGAAAATATTTTTAAGTTTTTTAAGTTGTGAACATCTGTAGTCTAATGCTGGCTGCTTTAGTTTTGATGATAAACTGTAGCACAGCTGATGTGGGTGTCATCTTCTGTGTCTCCAGACAGGTCCTTACAACCTGGAGACTTGCCTGAGCGTGGTGCTGCTGTCTCTTGCCATGGTGATGGCTGGCTCGGGGAACCTGAAGGTTCTGCAGCTTTGTCGCTTCTTACACATGAAAACAGGTGGTGAAATGAACTATGGTTTCCACTTAGCCCATCACATGGCCCTCGGACTTCTATTTTTGGGAGGAGGCAGGTAATATAGTTTAACCGTCAGTTAATTTATGCCCCACTATGGGGGGCTTCCCTAGTAGCTCAGTTGGTGAAGAATTGGTCTGCAATGCAGGAGACCTGGGTTCAATCCCTGGGTCAGGAAGATCCCCTGGAGAAGGGAATGGCACACATTCCAGTACTCTTGCCTGGAGAATTCATGGACCCAGGACTTGGTGGGCTCCAGTCCATGGGATCACAAAGAGTTGGACATGACTGTGCGACTGTTTTCTTCTTTAGGAGAGTTACCATCCTCTCTCTAACGCATGTGGCATCACTGCCTTTCTCAGAAGAGTCTGTACTCAGTACTTCATTGTATCACTTCTTGTTCCCCACTCTTGAATGATTTTAACTTCTACTAAATTACTGTCTCATAAAAGGCATGAACACTGTCAGTCACCAAAGCCTGTGAGATTTGCTGGTTTCAGTTTTCTTGCTCTCTTTCTAGCACCTGTCATTCCTGACCACCTCATCCTTTTATATGACTTCCCTGGCTTTTAATGATCTGTTTTGGATAAAATACACTTACAGAATACTGTGCAAGTCATAGGGGCATGACTTAATGAACTACCTACAATTTGAGAATCTCTTAGATCTTCCATAGAGCAAGATGTCACTCAGAATATCCATCTCCAACTGCTGTACCCCCTCCAATTTACTGTTACTTTATTCTGCCCAAACATGACTGCCCTGTAGGCTTCTAACACTTCAGATGGGTTTTGAAATTAAAATGGAATCATATACTATGTCCTTACTTTAATTCTTTAGCTCAGCATTGTGTTTGAGATTCATTCATGTTGCAGATAGTGTTTATTCATGTTTCAGTGCTGTTGAATCCCATTGTATGGTTATACCACAGTTACTCATTTACTCTGTTAGTGATGGATATGCTTGTTTTCTAGTTTGAAACTGTTAGGAGTATTCTTGTACATGTTTTTGATTTTGTTGTGTACAGATCTGAGTAGAACTGGGTCGTTGGGTGTGCATGTCTTTCACATTTCAGTGGGTGATACCATCAGTACTCCAGAGTGGTTTTACCATTTTATAGAACCGTCAGCATCATATACATTTCCAGTTACTCCCCATCCTGGTCTTCACTTGCTGTTGTTAGCCTTTATTTTAGCCATCGGGTAGTAGTATCTCATTTTGTTTTTAATTTCCACTTTCTTGAATAATGGTATGTGGCACCTTTTTATAGCTTTGATGGCCAACTGAAAATGTCCTTTGTTGATGGCCAAATCTCTTGCTACTCATTTTCATATTGGCTTATTCATTAAAAAATTTTTCTTTGTGGTTTAATGTACATAAAATTTATCATCTTAACTGTTTTTAAATGTATAGTCAGTAATTTTAGATATATACACATTGTTGTACAACCAATCTCCAAAGCCTTTTCATTTTGCAAAACTGAAACACTATCAGTTCAGTTCAGTCGCTTAGTTGTGTCCGACTCTTTGCCACCCCATGGACTGCAGCACGCCAGGCCTCCCTGTCCATCACCAACTCCCGGAGCTTACTCAAACTCTTTTGNAATATACAGCCTTGATGTACTCCAGAACTGTATACCCCCTAAGCAAGTACTCCTCATTTCCCCTCCTTGCCCAGTCTCCTGGCAAACACTGTTGTACTTTCTATTAATTTGACTATTCCATATTAGTTTATCATTTTGATTCCAAGACCTTTGTTAGTTCCTTATGTTGTAGTTATCTTCTCTTCTGTGGCTTACCTTTTAACTCTCTTAATGTTATCTTTTGATGAACAGAATTATTAATATTTTTCTTTGATGGTTTGTATTTTTTTGTCCTTTTGATGAAATATTTCCTTACCCACCAGAAATGAAGATATTCTCTTATTTATCTTCTAGAAGTTTTCAGCCTTTCCATTCACATTCGGATTTCAGAACTGATTTTCTGTGTCCCTGCCCACCCCCAATTGACACTCTGCTGTTGACAAAAAGTTATCGTTTCTCCACTCTTTCGCAGTACCACCTTTGTTGTAAATTAAGTGTCCATGTACATGTGTTCGTTTCTGGGCTGTTATGTTCAGGTGTCTATTTTTCTATACTTGCACAGTACCACAGTTGACTTAATTATTGTAGTTTTTATAATAAGTCTTTATATCCAGTAGAGTAAATCCTCCAAAGTGAGCTTTGTTCTTCGAAAATATATTTTTCTGTTCTTGGCTCTGTACATTTTATATAAATAGTGGAATTTGTTTGTGATTTTTCCAAACTAAATAACATGATTAAATATTGATTGGAATTGCATTGAATCTTTCCACTGGTTTGGAGGAATTGAAATCTGACATCACTGAAAGCCTATGAGTATAGTGTATCCTTTCATTTATTTAGCTCTAGAGTATGTGACCTTGGACAACTGACACGAAATCTGTAAGTCAGTAGTTATTTTATACCATTGAGAGTGAATTAAACATTGGAACTCACTCTTCCAGAAGTACAAAAAGTCAAGATTGTTAAAGATGTGCTTTCATTTCCTTTTGACATATTTTGTAGAAGTTTCATCTTTTAGTTGTTTAAAATTAAGGATGGTTAAGGAAATACTATCATAAAATTCTGCTTTTTAAAATATATTTTCCTTTCAAAATAAGTGTCTTGTTTATCTTATTCTCTTATTCAATCTCATGTTCTGTCATCACATGCTGTAGGACCCTACTTGCTCTGCTTTCATATTGAGTAGCTTTTCTCCCATTCTGCCCGTTCTGCTGCTGCTCTTCTCGTGATTGTTTTATCTCTGAGTGATTGTGTGTACTCTATGACAAGGTTTACATTTCTCTTAGCATAGTTAACCCTTATGCATAATCTCACAATTTCTAACATTAGTATCTAATGTTTATCTTTGGATTTATCAGAATGGTAAAGAGAAAATGGCCTAGCTTATGCTCATGTCAAAATAGATATATTTCTGTGTTTTAAATTTTGAAATCTCTTCTTCATAAAATATATATGTGTATAATAAATACTGAATTCTTACTTGATACCCTAATTATTAAAAGAGCTAGTGAATGCGATATGGGGATGTCTCCATGTATGTGTAATAAAAGTATGCATATGGAGCAGTGACGGCAGGGGTTCTGTGTGATGTCCAGAATCGTCTCTATTTCAGAATGTTTGCAGGAAAAACCAAAACTTCAGTCACCCTGTTTGCCATACTGAATTTGAGCAACAGTAAAATATTAATTTAAGGAAAATCTCAAAAGGTTTTACTTTACTAAGAGTGTATCGCCTTTATAAGATAAGTTTATCATACTGATAATGAACAAAAGCTTGTTTTTCAAGCAATAGTTGTTTATTCCTTCATTGTAACTTTTTAATGATAGCTTTTGCCTGTTTTATTTAGTCTGGCAGTCTAAGGAAATGCCTATGCTTTACAGAAAGGAAAAAAGTGTTTGAGATACCCAGTAAGAAAAAACACTGTATGTTTAGAAGTAAGTTTCAGCGTTCTATTAACAGGTATATATAAAACTGGAGAAGAAAACAGTGTACTTTACACATGACTTTTTCAGTATCTGTAATCTCTTACAGTTGCACTCATTGTTCTCACTGCTGTTCTCTTTTAGGTCAAAGCTTTGCTTTCTAATGTTAAGTTTTGAAATGTAACATTTGTGATGTGTCACTTCTGCTTTAAACAGTAGATGATGTTGAAATGGCTTAAGGACTGACTAAAATGTTCCCATTGGTGAGGCACCCACAGTGATCAGTGCATTAGTTTCATCAGTGGACCTTGCCCCGAGACCCCAGTCTCCCGCCGTGAAAGCTGAAGGCTTGCGCTGTGTGATGAGTAATGCCTGGCCCTCATGTTCGTTCCGCAGGTACTCCCTGAGCACGTCGGACTCGTCCATCGCCGCCCTGCTGTGTGCCCTCTACCCCCACTTCCCGGCTCACAGCACTGACAACCGGTGAGCCTGGGGTGTTCCTCACGTGCCCTTTCTGCTGTTATCTCGGGGGAGGGGAGTCATCTGATGGTGTTTTGGCTCCACGGACTCACTTCCAAATTCGCTATACTCTGTTCTTAAACTTAGTCATCTTCCTGGGTAAATCTTTTTAAAAAGCTTTTCTCGCAAAATATTAAGCCAGAAGAGAACTTTGGGCTTCTGATTCCTGACCAGCCTTCTCCTATTCTCCAGTCAGTTGAACTGCTCTAAACCCAGAAGTAGGCCAGACCAGGGGTATCATTAGGGAAAAACTCAACATGCAGAAGATAGCAGCAGGAGAAACTGAATACACTTTGGCCAAAGTACTTAATTCTGAGAGAGGAATTTATCTAATTTAGTGGCAATGTCTGTATGAATTCCGTTTGCTCCCTCTTTGAATGCTGAGAAGTTTTGTTTAACTGGCAAAGAAGGGACAAGAAAATGCAGCAAAGAATTGGTTAAGAAATGGCAGTAACGAGTAGAGCCCTACACATGGAGAAGCCGTCTGATAACACAGCAGCTCTGTGTTTAGAGCGCAGAGAACCACCCCAGGTTTCGGGCCCAGCCAGTGTCTCCTGTTTGTGGAGGAAGGGGAGAAGATAGCTCCTTGTACCCCAGTGACATCCAGGGCGCTCTGAGAGCTCAGCTGCAGGCAGCCCCAGTGGTCTGCCCGGGAAGGAGTGAGGGGGGGGCCCACAGTAATGAGCCGTCACTCAGAACTGCAGTGTCATGTGCAGCCGGTCATGACAGGAAGACTGCTTTCACAGAAGTAGCCCGATGTGAAGTCCAAACTGCACTTTCTTTCTTAAAACTCCTTTGGCCTCACCACACCACATGTGGGATATTAGTTCCCTGACCAGGGCTCAAACTCACACCCCCTGCATTGGAAGCACTGAGTGTTAACTGCCAGGGAATCTCTGAGGTCCAAACTTTAATGATAGATGGTGCATAAGAATATTGTTAAATTAGTATAACTCTGATGAGTGGTCTCTTACTTGTAAGTTTAGGGAAGATTGTTTTGAGTTGTTGAAGTCAGCTTTTGACTAGGGTATAAGGGGGATGGTTAGATAGCATCACCAACTCAATGGCCATGAATTTGAGCAAACTCCAGGAAACGGTGGAGGACAGAGGAGCCTGGCATCCTGCAGTCCGTGGGGTCGCGAAGAGTCAGATGTGACTTGGCGACTGAGCAGCAGTAAGAAAGAGCTGCCCTCACATATGGCGCTGGTCACAGTGTCAGCTGTTTTAGACAGGACAGCTTGGCGATAAGCACCAAGAGCCTCTGTAACTGCTACACACCAGTTTTTCTCAGGAGAGAAGTTTTGGGTCAAGGGTCGCATGTCTCTAATTTCTTTTTTTAATTAATTTGTTTTACTTTACAATATTGTATTGGTTTTGCCATACACTGACTTGAACCTGCCATGGGTGTCCATGTGTTCCCCATCCTGACCCCCCCCCCACCTCCTTCCCCATCCCATCTCTCTGNAGAGTACTTTGAAAGCGTTGTCCTTTAAAAGATGACAACAGTGAGTTGAGTTCTCCTAAAAATTGAAGCCTCCACAGTTAATGTATATCCTGCGAGGCCGTTAAGGCTCATTTGTAACCTTCAGATGTAATAGTTTAGGGGCTGTCAGCTGCTTTTTGGTTTTTAGAGCTTGTAGTTTGTAAATGTCCCTGTTAACTTTACATAGCTGAGAGTAGCATTCCAAAAAATGAAGGGAGTTAGAATAATTTTTGGATGTCAGCATAGTGCTTCAGAGTATGTGATGAGAGCTTTGATTTACGTGCATGGATAGATTATGTCATTAGGTCCTTCCTTCTGGGCTTCTCAAGTGGCTCAGTGGCAAAGAGTTCATCTGGCAATGCAGGAGACATAGGAGACGTGGGGTCGACCCTTGGGTCAGGAAAATGCCCTGGAGAAGGAAATGGCAACCCAGTCCAGTGTTCTTGCCTGGAAAACCCCATGGACAGAGGAGCCTGGCCTCATAAGAGGAGAGTCCATGGGGTCATAAAGAGTCGGACACGACTGAGCATGCATGCACATCCTCCTTTCAGAAAATTGTTCGGTACCTTCTGAGTATCAGAACTGTGCTAGGGAGTTCCCTGGTGGCCTAGTGGTTAGGATTTTGAGCTTTCACTGCTATGGCGTGGGTTTAATCCCTGGTCGGGAAACTGAGCTATGTGGTGTTTCAAAACAAACAGGAAAACAAAAACATAACAAACCCCATAACTGCTAGGTTCTGGGATACAAAGTTGAGGTGACTGTCATTTTCCTTAAGGAATGTCTGTCACTGAAGAGTTAGGCTTGGACTCAGTAAGAGAAGCCTGCGATAATTGGAGGCTTGCGTGGGGCCGGGGGAACTGACACGTGCTCTTATCCAGCACTCCTGGCAGTTGGGAGGCCATCATGGTAGGCACGGCGTCTGGACCGAGATTTGCCTGGCGGGCCGAGCACGTTCCTGGTGGAGAACATGGTGTGCAGGAAGCCCGAGGCCTCCTGCACGGGCAGAGGCCCAGTGCTGTGGGCAGGTGGCGCGCGGGCTCGGAGCCCTGGCAGGCGGTGCAGGCCCTGCCAAGGACAGCAGGGGGCAGCCCCGTCAGACTTGAGTGTCAGAGAGGGCTGTATGCTGTTGGCAGGCTGTCTCCAACCTGCGGGGGAGGGAGAGCACAGAGTGGTGAACGTTTTTTGTACTTTCCCCCTAACTGTATGGTAAATGGTGACTCTTCTATTTGTGAAGGGCACTCAGTGGTATGAACAAACCAAAGAAGAATTGATGGCCCCCACCCTTCTTCCAGAACTCCACCTTTTAAAACAGGTGAGTAGGATATGAATAGAGGGATTTACCAAGGGGTAAATTCAGCCAGAATAACATAGCGTTAAAGATAGCCCAAGAAAAGCCTGTGCGTTCTCACTGTTCTCTAAGAAACGGGCGAGCAGCAGCAGGAGGAATAGTCCTGAGGAAGAGAGAGGGTCCCCACTGGGAGCTCTTTACTGAGCGCTGAGGTGGCCTGAGAGATGACTCGCGTGTTCACTTGGAAGTGGGTGTGTTAACCTCTCACCATCTCTTTCTAGCCCAGTTTATTCTCATTTCCTCTGAGAAGCACGGGTTTCATCTTATCTACTAACACTTCCCCAGGATTGGATTGACTGTTTACATTTATCTTGGCAGATTAAAGTTAAAGGCCCGAGATACTGGGAACTGCTCATAGATTTAAGCAAGGGAACGCAACACTTGAAGTAAGTGCTTTGAATTTCTCAGATGTGTCTGTGAACGGAATAGAAATATATGGGAAGATAGGAATGATGATAATTATGTGAAATGCTCCTTGTCACCCTTTCATCTCATCCAGGACGATATGTAGCGTGTTGAAGAAGATAGTCTCTCTCTTTGAAAAAGTCCATAGTAGGAAGTAAAATTTGACATTCAGAAGTCAAACCCTAATTATTAATTCACTGAGAAACTTGAGTGACTTAAATTGGGACAGTCATGGAATTGTATTTTGGAGCAATAATGAAAGATTTAAATAAGAAAATGAAGCTGATTTATATATCCACAGAGGGAACTTTGTGACAGCTGGTGTTTGGCAGGCCACATCTTCTGTTGCATCTCTTTACCATTTTCTGGTTAAATGGCTCTCATAAAATTAAGATGATGTTTGATTGCTTTTGGTTGGAAATGGTCATATGCAGATAATTACTTTGATGAACAGAGTGTGCTAGTAATTTTTACACTTCAGTTAGCATGTAAATTAAGTCTTTAAATTCACATAAAGTTTAACAATTTGTAACAGTTTTTACAGTATCATCCTCATTTCTCTTTCTTCCAGACTGTAAGTAGCTGCTTTTTGCATTATTCTGTCTTTAGATTTGCAGCATCTTTTTCTTTTTGCTGTAAACAAATCAGTAGATATTTAAGGGAATACATGTTAGATAAAATATCTCCTTTGAAAGTCATACTTGAGCAAATAGTGAGAATGCCACCTTATTTAATAGGTTCCTTGAGTCTTGACAGCAGAGAAAAGCAGAACTTGATTATGACTTGTAGGGACTGGTTTAGTTTCAACACAATAAATAATCGCATAGCAGAAAGTGGTGAAAACTTTATCTCATGTGAACATAGTATTGGGAACTGCATTTCCAGGCAACAATTCCCAGTAATACCTCGTATTAAAACCATTCTTGTTTTCTTTCAGGTCCATTCTTTCCAAGGATGGGGTTTTATATGTTAAGCTCAGAGCAGGTCAACTCTCCTACAAAGAAGATCCAATGGGGTGGCAAAGTTTATTGGCCCAGACTGTAGCTAACAGGAACTCTGAAGCTCGGGCCTTCAAGGTAGTGTGACTGGTAAAAACTGAAGGATATTCTCATCAGAAGAAAAAAAGATTGTAACTAACTGTGATGATGGATGTTAACTAGACTTGTGGTTGTCATTTGTCAGTATATACAGATACCAAATAATTGTTGTACACCTGAAACTAATAAACTGTTATATATCAGTTATATCTCAATTAAAACAAAAAGCAAAATTGAACAACGGGAGGGACTAGGTTCAAATCCTACTAGTCCACCCAAAGCATATACTTCTGTCATAACATTTATGGTACTGTTTAGGTAGATCCAGTCACTAATCACAGCAGATTGTGAAGACTGAATGACCTGGGGCCAGTTGGCTGTTTATGTGACAGTTGTTATCAGATACAGGCCATCTGCCAGAACTCACAGTCAAAATATATCTTAGCGCTAAAAGGAACTTAGCTTAATAGTTAATCCTCAGATCCATTAAGATTTACTTAATTCATGGGAAAAATAAAAAAAATTTTTTTGCAAGGTACACTTTTGAGTTCTTATGACTGAGTCTTTATTATAGTTTCCAGAGGATCAATTGAAGTAGTTGACATCAGTGAATTTTGTTTGTCAGTATTCAAAAGGATTTTGGGGCAAAGTTTAACTTGAATTTGCACTATTGTTAATTAGCACTAAACCAAAGTGAATGAAAGTGAAAGTCACTCAGCTATGTCTGACTCTTTGTGACCCCATGGACTATACTATCCATGGAACTCTCCAGGCCAGAATACTGGAGTGGGTAGCCTTTCCCTTCTCCAGGGGATCTTCCTGACCCAGGAATTGAACTGGGGTCTCCTGCATTGCAGGTGGATTCTTTACCAACTGAACTATCAGGGAAGCCCAATATAAGCCCGATATAAACCAAGGCCCATCTGAAAGACCCTAATCCAGTTTGTAAAGAAAATAGATAAGTTTAGGCTTGAGTTTTCATGGGGCAAGTATATGAAAATTAAAAGACCATCTCCATTTCCTGCCTGCCGAGAGTTCAGAAGTAAATTATAAACCTCAGTGGAAAATGGTTAAAACCTTCATATTCCATTTTCAGTCTTGAACCTTGAGTGATAGTCCTTGTCACCCTTTTTTTCCAATTTTTTTTAGTTGTAAAATACACATAACATAAAATGCACTGGCTTAACCCTTTTAAGTGTACAGTTCTTTGGTACAAAGGACATTCGTGTCCTGTGCTGTCATTACCACCACCGTCTCCGAGACTGTCTTTATCCTGTAGAGCGGCGTCTCCGCCCCTGTTGGCACTGACTCCCCATTCCCCTCTCCCCAGCCCCTGGCAGCTCCCGTTGTGCTTTCTGCTTCATGACTCTAGTGACCTTATGACAGCACTTGTCTTTCTGTGAGTGGCTTGTTAGAGTGATAATCTCTTTTCCTTAATCTGTTCAGTAATAGTTCTAGTTTCTAGTTTGCCTTTCAGTTTAAGAAGGAAGGGAAAACCTTTTTGGGGTGACGTCTATAAGAAACACCTGATTTTAATCTGCCCTTTGATAAATCAGTAGCTCATGGTAGCTTGTGCAATGTATTTCTTAGGCATGACATCCCTTATATGTTTAATCTGAAAGGAAGTAATACAAATGAACTTAAAAAACAGAACCAGACTCAGAGTCTTCGAGAATGCGCTTATGGTTGCCAGCGAGAAAGATAGGAGGAGGAGATAGTGAGGGCGTTTGGGATGGGCATGTACAAAAAAAAGATAAGTAAGCTGATTACTAAAAAAAAAAACAAAAACTTTCAACCCAACAGGTTGATGAAGCTCTAGCAGCCTTGGCTTTTGTGGAAACATTGTGTGAAAAAATGTAGATTACAGCTGTGTACAATTTGAGTAGTAATGAAAAGAATCTTTATTATCTCATGTATACTTGTTCTTTATTTTTTTAGCCTGAAACAATTTCCACATTCACTTCTGATCCAGCACTTCTGTCATTTGCTGAATATTTCTGCAAACCAACTGTGAACGTTGGGCAGGTATGTATTATGTGGTTTGCTTAGCTCCAAGACTAGGGTTTGTTTCTATCTGCAGACCACCAAAAAAAAATCCAAAATATCCTTATCTGTCTTTGATGACATGCCTTAGGCACATTGAATGAATTTTGTTTGGCAAATACGAGTATTTCATAGTCTAAAACTATTAAATTCAGTAATTTCCTACCTTAATAGTAGAAACAACTTAAAATTTCCAAGACATTAATTTTGATCGCTGGTATTTATGTACTCTTGTAATGATTCTTGTTTCTCTTCATAACCCTTTTTTTGGTCATAAAGCTGTTCTCTTCAGGATTCTAAGGGTGCTTGCTAGTAGATTCTTTGATTTATCCATCATCTGAGTTGGCAAGGACTGCATGTGGGGATTTTATGATCTGGGATTGATGGCCTATTGTCTGCAACTGTGCGTGACCTTGGAAAAGTTTTTCAATCTTTTTGAGATGTTGTTTCCTTATTCCTAAAAGTGGGATTATAATATAACCTGCCTTACATTATTGTTTTGAAAGTAAAATGACAGAACCTTCCTGCCTCTTATTTATTGAATCTTCACTGTGTGTTAGGCCCTCTGCTCAGTATTCTCTGTAATTTTTTTCATTTTAACTCTGACCCTGGGGATAGGTACTGCCTGCTGAGGAATACTGCCACTTAGACCTGTCACATACCTGGGGTCACATCGCCAGTAAGGGCTGGGGCCTGTGCTCAGCTGCAGGCCACAGGTCTCTGCTGAAAGCCCATGCCCGCCCTTGACCCCGGCTGAGCTTGCTGTGTCACCGTCCTAAGCCTGAGCTCAGTGCTTCTGCTGCGTCTTGGTGGCTGCTGGGCGCCCCTCCTGGGTCCTGTTCCCGCCGGCCCACCCCATAGCATAACTCTCTGGTGTCTTGTCAGCTCATTTCACCCAGCTGCTTCCATTCCTCTCCTCCAGGGCACTGAGAGCCCTAAATGTTTCTTGGAACTTAATTTTGATTGTGTTTTTATTGGTGTTTAATATTGCATGCACTCTGATTTTATAAAGACCTAGCCTGTTTTACCCTTTTAGATCATTCACTGCAGAATGTCAGAATGGGCCATCATAGTGACTATACAGTTGTTATTTGATTTGATTTCGGAACATACATTGATGTGCTACAAAAAGATTCTGGCTTTCCACAGAAACAGGAGCTTCTGGATCTCTTCTCTTCAGTGCTCTATGAATGTGTGACTCAGGAGACCCCAGAGATGTTACCTGCGTACATAGCAATGGATCAGGTATGGTTCAGAAAACCTATTCTAATTCTGATGAGCTTTATCCTGTATTTCAAATAACATGCCAGACAGTACAGTAAGATTCCCTCTATGTCCATGTTTTTAGTTTCTCATTTGCTTTTAGAATCTCAGAAAAGGAATCTCTATCAAAGTTGAAAGCTCTGTATATACCAGAAGCTTAGAGTTTATGATGACAAACGGGCTGTCTTACTCCAGGGGTTCCCATTCTCCCCTCTGGCCTCTTCCTCTAACCAGGAGAGCACGCTTTCTCCCTTTCACCCCTAGCATCCTTGTGTGGTCTCTTGCCTCCCTCCTGACAAAGCCTTTTCCTGGAAAAGCTTATGCAAGTGAGCAGTACGTAAACAAACAGTGTCCTGGTGGTGGCAGTAATGTGCAGTTACACCTGGTGATTAAGCTCACAGAAGTTACAGTGTCAGCATGTGGGGGTTTCGGGAGCTGGAGTTCATCTTTAAAGTTCTTTTGTGTTATTGTTGCTTTAAATTAAGAGTCTAAAAGGGGTAATGCAGAAGATAACGCTCAACAGCTTTCCTAAAAGATTGAACTTATTTATTTTCTTAGGTTATTAGTAATTGTTGTTTTAATTAATAAGTCCTGTCTGTCTGTTTTGTGACCTGATGGATTGTAGCCTGCTAGGCTCCTGTGTCCATGAGATTTCCCAGGCAAGAATACTGGAGTGGGGTGCCATTCTTTCTCCAGGGGATCTTCCTGACTTAGGGGTCGAAATCCCATCTCCTGCATTGGCAAGCAGATTCTTTACCACGGAGCCACCTGGGAAGTCCTATTTAGTAATACATATGGCTTTTTAATATTGTCATATCATGGAGACTCAGATTTACCATTAAATTAAGTCAGTAGTTTTCTAAGTTGGCTAAAATTTATCTGGGAAATCTTAACAATACAGAGCCTCAAGTCCCCTTCCACAGTTACTGAGTCAGAATTTCTGAGATTTAAGTCCAGGATCTATAGTTTTAAAAAGCTCGAGTGATTATGATATAATGAGTTCATAGATAAGAATTTGGGACTCTGTGTCAAAGGGAGTAATCTCTAATGGAAAAGAATCTCTACTGAAGAGGTGAGTGGGAAAATGCAGGAAATAATTCCCCAAAACCTGTTTTGCATAACAGTCCTAACTAAAAAGGCCGTTTCCAAAATAACCGCGTGGGCCTAGGCCGCCCTTACTGTCGGGCACCCGCCTTTCTTGGGTGTAAGTGTGATGTCCACACTGGCGCTGCTTCTCACAGGGTCTGTGTGCAGCAGCCGAGTGATGGGGGGCGTTTTTCAGTTGGTGGCTGAGAGTGTGTTCTTTTCCTGTGCTCTGAACTTTTTCCTCCCTGCAGTCGTGGGCAGGTGCCTGTAGTGGGACAGCCCTCTGGTTGCAGCCGTGGTGACTTTGCAGATGGGTCCCAGGAACAGTATTGTCAGTAGTACAGGTTTTGCCTCCTGACTCCTGGGATCCCTGACCTGATCGCAGACATCATTGTACCAACTTGGGTTTCCCAGAGGGGACCAGCTGAAGACCTATCGGGTCTTCATTTCTCAGAGCCGTTGAGCCAAGAATGAGCTTTGTTTGCCATCACCATTTTTTATCTGAAGGCTGTTCATGTTCGTTTTGAACAGAATGGCCGTTACCTAAACCCACTAAAGGGCTTCTCTATGGGGCAGACTGCATCACACACAGAGCGGCTCCTCGATGCCCTTCCTTGATCTCGTGACCATATTAAAAAAATACCCCAGTGTACAAATCCGAGGAAGTAACGGATCTTCACTCTTTCATCAAGTGGATTTCTGTTCTCTCTGCAAGGCTGTAAGAAGACTGGGAAGAAGAGAAATGTCTGAGACATCTGACCTTTGGCAGATAAAGTTGGTGCTGGAGTTTTTCAGCTCCAGAAGCCATCAGGAACGGCTGCAGAACCAGCCTAAGCGAGGGCTTTTTATGAACTCGGAATTCCTCCCTGTTGTCAAATGCACTATTGACAACACTCTGGACCAGTGGTTACAAGGTAAGAGCAGCATTGCACCGCTTGTGCTTCAAGGCTGCACTGGGTCTCGGGTGTTCTGTTTAGCCTGTTTTCCTTGGTAAGCAGGTTAAGTCCTAGTACAATCCCAAATTGCTGTCGATGTCCTGTTTCCAGGTAGGTGAATTGTTCTCTGATTATCTACTCTAACATTTTTTGAGGATAGAAAGTGAGATTTATTTACTTATTTATTTATTTTGGCCACACTGTGACATGTAGGCTTTTTAGTTCCCCACCCAGGGATCCAGCCTGCGCCCCCAGCATTAGGAGTTCAGAGTGTTTGTTTTTGGTTGCACTGGGTCTTTGTTGCTGGGCATGGGCTTTCTCTAGTTGCAGAGAGTGAGGGCTGCTCTTTGTGGCGGTGCTCAGGCTTCTCATTGGGGTGGCTTCTCTTGTTGTAGAGCACGGGCTCTAGGAATACAGGCTGCAGGAGGGCTTAGCAGTTGTGACTTGAGGGCCCTAGGGCGCAGGCTCAGAAGTCGTGGGGGACAGGTTAGGTGCTCCACAGCTGTGGAATCTACCCAGACAGGGAGCGAACCCATGCCCCCTGCATTGGCAGGTGGATTCTTAGCCACCGAACCACCAGGGAAGTCCAGGAGCTGGAGGCCTTAACCACTGGACAACCAGGGAAGTCCTGACTTCTTTACCAGATGCATTTAGCTCTGCTCTGTAAGCCATGGAGAGAATATATATGTAGCATTTTAAATACCTCTTGACACTTAGAAACTTGTTTCATCTTTTCCAGCATCAGATTGTGTTTCTTTCCAGTGCCTCTCTCCTGTTTCTTAAGGGTGTGGCATGTCACCTACCTGACCCCATTTTTTCTGCCTCCATCCCGTGTACACTGAAAACCTGATGCTTGTTTTATCAGTTCCGTGAGTCAGTCCGTGAGGACCTGGGACTTCATGGAGCTGGTTTTCTGTCAGTAGAAGCTCTGCCTTGTGATTACAGGGAGAGTGTGAAGTTACTCCTGACAGTGTAGAAGTGATTATGGAGGCAAGTGATGCGGCCTTTTGATGTGTGGAAAGCTGTCTAATATGTGATATATGCCTGAAATCCATTTTTAGTAGTTAACTCCTTGATCTTTTTATTCTTTTCAGTTCTGATGCTTCCAAAATGTATTGGACAGCAACTCGCTTTGAGTAAATGCTAACTGTCATAATATCAGTAGTAACAGCTTTTGTTTCTATTGAGTTGTTAGTAAGCGGTAGAACCTAGGGATTTGACTGTGATTATGTTTGAAGCTGTCTGCCTGTTCACTGCACCTGGTTGAGGCTCCTCTGCCTGCCCCGCCCCCAGCCCTGGGGTGACTTGTTTCTCCAAGGTCCCAGCTGCTCTCGCTTTTTCTCTATTTTATTTAGGCAGGAGATGGAAGTGAGGGGGAAGGGAAAGAAGGTTAGCTTGAGCCTGTCTTCACCCAGCTGTAGTGTCAGGATAAGTTCTGTCCAGTTACTGGAGGTCAGGGTCAAACGGGTGCAAAGCGGTAAGGAGAAGGTAAGGAGAAGGATGTGCACGAGAGCGGGGGAATGCCCGCCCGGGCCCCAGGGCAGAGGAGGGGTGAGCGGGAGTGGACAGGGTGGGGCAGTGGGTTTGGCAAGCACCAGAGGAGCCCCTCGCTCCCATTTCCCATCTGTCCCATCTCTCCTCCCACATTAACACACAAGCTGTTTCTTTTAAAAAAAGTTTCTGAAAAAATTTAATTGTAAGCCAGATTGTGAACAACAAAAATGCTGCTGCTTCCTTGCTTCAGTCATGTCCAACTCCGTGCAGCCCTCTGGACTGTACTCTGCCAGGCTCCTCTGCGCATGGGATTCTCAGCAAGAATACTGGAGTGGGTTGCCATTTTCTCCAGGGGATCTTCCTGCGCCCGGGATCGAATCTGGGTCTCCTGCGTTGCAGATGGAGTCTTCACCACTGAGCTACCAGGGAAGCCTGAGGGACATATATGGAAAACAGCAATTCCAGAGTACCCGTGTTTAACACCTGCATCTGCTCTGTGATTTCCTCTTGGGATTTGAAAGGTCATAAAGTTTCAGAACGGAGAAGGCCATGGCACCCCGCTCCAGTACCCTTGCCTGGAAAATCCCATGGACGGAGGAGCCTGGTGGGCTGCAGTCCATGGAGTCGAGAAGAGTCAGACACGACTGAGCGACTTCCCTTTCACTTTCCACTTTCATGCATTGGAGAAGGAAATGGCAACCCACTCCAGTGTTCTTGCCTGGAGAATCCCAGGCACGGGGGAACCTGGTGGGCTTCCGTCTATGGGGTCGCACGTAGTCGAACACGACTGAAGTGACTTAGCAGCAGCACCAAAGTTTCAGAATTTCTAAAAATTTGATAATCATTTAGTTCTCATGTTTGGGGAAAAATACCTGTTGTTTAATAGATGTTGCTGTTCTGGTTTTACTCAGTTTCTTGTTTATTCACCCATAACAAGCACTTGCTGTTGATAAGAAATGGATCCCCAAACCTTTGCATATTCTCTGACACGCATGTATCGTATAATGTAGTGAGGCTCTGGCGGTGACTAGGCTCTCTAAAACAGCCCTGAATTGCTTTCTCCTCCCTCCTTGTTAGGGTGACTTAACGGTTAGGGTGGTTTACAGTGTTGTTCTGAGCCTTCACCAGATTTGGCTTGCCACTCTGATTGCCAGCAATGTGTATTTTTTTTTTTATTGAAAAAGGACTGTCACTTAAAAAAACTCTTTGGTATGTGGTCTCCTCTCAGGGATACTGGCAGCTTTGGGGTGGAGAACAGGAAACTAAATGAAGGTGCGGGGGCTGTGCAGCAGCACTGGGAAACATCATTTGTGTTTGTGTCTCAGTGAATCACAAGTGACCCATGGACTTTCAGGGAGGGCAGGAGGAGAAGGGGATGACAGAGGATGAGATGGCTGGATGGCATCACCGATTCAATGGACATGGGTTTACATGGACTCTGGGAGTTGGTGATGGACAGGGAGGCCTGGCATGCTGTGGTTCATGGGGTCGCAAAGAGTCTGACACGACTGAGCGACTGAACTGAACTAGTAACACAAACTAGTGTAGCAGATTGATCATATTTTGTTGATGTCTTATGATTTATCTCAATTAGATTTTAATCTTGAGCAAAAAAATTGGGTTTAAAGTTTAAGAACTTAAACATCTTATTTATTTTCACATTTTATTATGGAAAAATTTAAAGCATAAGGCAAAGTAAGCATAATAGTATCATAAACCCCATCAGGCAGCTTCAACAGCGTCCACATTCTGCCATTCTTATATTCTCTGTAACTTTACCCATTGCCGTGCTGTTATTTTCCGAATTGTGCCATTTTACATTCCTGCCAGCAGTGGGATGCATTGCAGATTTTGGCATTATCAGACTAATTTTAGACAGTCTACTGAATATGTAGTGGTGTCTAATTGTAGTTTTAACTTGCATGTCTGCGATGACTCATCATGCTAATTATTTTTGTATGTGTTGTTTGTTACTCATATATCCTTTGCATAATGTCTTTTCAAACCTTTATTGTTGCTGTTATTTAGCACTAAGCCGTGTCAGACTCTTGTGAAACACCATGGACTGTATGTAGCTTGCCAGGCTCCTCTGTAGCTGGGGTACTCCAGGCAAGAATACTGGAGTGGGTTGCCATTTACGTTCTCCAGGGATCTTCCCAACCCAGGGCTCAAACCTGCATCTCCTGCATCAGCAAGTGGATTCTTTACTGCTAAGCTACCAGGGAAACTTTGAAACCTTTACCCATGTTTAAAATTGGCGGTCTTTTGATTATTGAGTTGGAGGAGTTTTTACATATTCTGGCTGAAAGTTCTTTGTCAGATGTTTTGCAGTGATATTCTACTTTATGCCTGGCCTATTTTTTCCAGAGTGTTTTTTGATAAACAGAAGTTTTAAATTTTGATGAAGTCAAATTTATCAGTTTGTTTTATAGTTATTACTTTCTGGGTGTTAAGAAATCTTTGCTATTCTGGGTCATGGAGATTTTTTTTAAGTTTAATATTAAAAGCTCTGTAGTTTGATTTTTTTACATTTAGATCTGTGATTTGTCTCAAACTGATTTTTTTTACATGGTGTGAGATACGAGTTGTCCTTTTTTTTTTAACCTTTAATATGGTTTCAGGACCATTTGTGCAAATGACTTTTTTTCTCATTAAGGTGCTTTGGAGCCTTTGTTGAAAATCAGTGGACTATGTAAGCGTGAGTCTGTTTCTGGACTCAGTTCTGTACCATTGATCCGTTTTTCTTTTTGCCAGACACCCTCTGAATTACTGTAGGTTTAGAGTTAAATTTTGAAATTTGTAGTGTAAATCTTCCTGCTAAAGCAGCATTGAGAAGGAAATTCATAGCGCTAAATGCTTGCATTGAGAAAGTCTCACATCACTAATCTTGAGTTCTTACTTCAAGAAATTAGAAAAAGAAAAGCAAAATAAACCCAAAGCAAGCACTTAAGAGCAGGAGTCAATGACATTGAAAACAGAAAAGCAGCAGAGAAAACCAGCGAAGCAGAAGGCAGCAGGCGCGAGGAAGCCCTTGGCAGGAGCCGAGCTGCTGCGCGCTCTCGCCTCTCCGGAGAGGCTGCCAGAGCAGAGCCTCTCCCGCTTCCTTTATCAGGCCTGCGCTGCCGCCCGGATGTCCCCACCTCCCACCAGACTGACCTCCTCAGTTAGGTCCAGTGGGCTTCTGCTAGTGTTCCCGGCACTCCATGTCGTTCTTAAGGAAGGTGATCTTTCTTGACTTTTGTGACAGCTCGCTTTTCCATTTCCCAATTGTTAAAAAACAAACAGAAAAGCTCTGACCATTCTCTCTGTTTCATCCCTGCTTCACTGGCTTTCCTTCCTTGCCTTTCTGGGAGTATTGTTGCCCCCTCCTCCCTCTCCTTCTCATCTTTTCTGTGGTAGCCAATCCATCACCTTAGCCTTTCATTCCTGACTCCTAAACATCTCGTGAATCTGTCCACATGTTGCCACTTCTGTCCTAGAACAGTGATGTGTTCTCGCCTGGACAAAGACGGTTGAAGCCTCCTGCACATCTTCCTGCTTTTTACTCTCATCTCCCTCTCGCCATCTCTAGTCAACCGACAGTGGTCTTCCAAAGAGTAAATAGATCTAACTCTCCTGTTTAAAACCTTGCAAAGGCTGCTGATTNTAAGGTGGAGACAGTAAGGGAGCCTTGAACCACGCGTACCAGGGGCTTTGCCCTGGGAGAGCTGGCAAGCTGTTTTAAGGGTTGAGCAGGAGAGCAGTGTGTTCTGACTTCAAACTATTACTCCGGTCACCACGTGGACGTTACTACATAGGAGAGAGAGGAAGGGTAGACGCAGGGCGATCCTCTCAGCGAAGTGGTCATTTTCCTTTGGACGGTGTGTCAGTCACTGAGTCGTGTCTGACTCTCTGCGACCCCATGGACTGTAGCCCACCAGGCTCCTCTATCCATGGGATTTCGCAGGCAAAATACTGGAGTATGTTGCCATTTCCTTCTGCAGGGGATCTTCCTGACCCAGGGATTGAACCCACGTTTCCTGCCTTGGCAGGCGGATTCTTACCGCTGAGCCTCCAGAGAAACCCAGCTCAAACAGTAGGACACATACAACCTTATGTGGTTGGAAGTCCACAGTGACTGTCGGCTGAAGGGACATGTTACTGCAGTAGCTCCAGCTCCACCTCTGTGAGGTTCCATCACTTATGCTCTGTGCCGTGACTTTATCCTCAGACTGTGAGGTTCCATCACTTATGCTCTGTGCCGTGACTTTATCCTCAGACGTGAGGTTCCATCACTTATGCTCTGTGCCGTGACTTTATCCTCAGAGTACTTTTTTCTGATGGTAGAATAGTAACAGTTCTTTGCCACAAGCTCAGGATTTTGCTTAGAGGAAGAATAGAGTTGCTTCTAGGAGCTTTGCCATAAGAACAAAGAAATTTGTTTCCTGCAAGCCTCTAGCAGACATGTTGTCAAGCATCTCCTTGTGTCTCTGAACTGAAACTCATGCACGTTCCTTGATCACTTCTGAGGGCAGAGAGTGTCACTCTCCCTGAAAGTCTGACTGCCTGTCCCTGAACCAGCTGCTGTGTTGGGGGAGTGGCACTGCCTGGACAGCCCCAGACCCGTGGTTCTCACAGCGTGGGTTCTGGAACAGCAGCAGCAGGATCGCTTGGGAGCTTGCTGGAAACACAGTTTCCTTGGCCCCATCCAGGAAATTGTTGGGGTCCACTCATCGGTATTTTAATCAGTCCTCCAGGTGATTCTGATGCCTGTTAAAGTTTGAGAACCTCTGGGCAAGACGAATCAGGATCCAATGCCCTCACATGTGAGCGAGGAGGGGAAGGTGGTAGGATGGGTGTGTGGGAAGACGACCATGGTGACGACCGTGGTGACCACTGCACCTCGATGGCACTCATCCTGGTTTGTGATTGGCATCTGTTTGATGTTAGGTCTATAGTATCTCTGTCCCCACAACACTCTAAACTCTGCAGTCATGGGCACTCTGGCTGGCTTACCGCAGCAGCGTTAATGCCGAGCATAGGAACCGTCTGATACGTGCTAGGCGCTCAGTGAGTTCTTGGTGAGAAAAGAATAAAGGATTCGTTCCTTGTGCCTCTCAGTTGTGAATCAGTTGGTTCTGTCCCATGTGCCCCTTTCAGCTGGAGGTGACAGGTGTGTGCACGCCTACCTCAACGGGCAGCCCTGCGAGGAGCCGCAGCTGAGCATGCTGGCCTGCTTCCTGGTCTACCACGCGGTGCCGGCCCCCCAGCGCCTGCCGTCTACCGGCCTGGAAGGTAACTGCCTCCGGGCCCTCCCTCACCCCTGTGTTACCCACACTGGGGCTCCTGCTGCGGTATTTCCTCTGGTTAGACTTGTGCCTTCATTCATGTTTGGGTGTTATTGTTGAGAATTTTTTCCTGGAGAACAAAACCAAAAATCTCTAATGAAAACTACCTGAGCTTTCCATATGCATAAACCTTTATTTCCGTTCAGAAGAGGACAGATTCTTCACAGGGCCCCAAATACTGGTATATACTAATAAACTAACATTCTTATTGTTCTTCTCTCTGTTAATTGACTTTTATTAGTTTTTTTTCTTTATTTTCTGGGTTTTCAGTTTATATTTTAAAAAAACACATAATATTAATTTCTAATATTATAAAACTTTGAAATGATAGCAGTCTAATTTTGTATGTATTTGAATATTTCCGTAACAGAGTTTGAAGTTTTAGCATCTGACTGTATTTCAGACTGTAGAATCAGATGCAAAATCTGTCCATTTAATAATTTAAAGTGTAATGACATTATTGATTTCTGGCTGTCTTGAAAACCTCAGAAAAAAAAGCACTATTTAGAGACCTCTAGTTGTGGCCACAATGGAATTGCTTGTATTAGACAGACTCTTCCACACACAAAACAGCAAATATAAAAATGGACGTCTTCATAAAGCCTACAGGAGCTGGTGGCAGCCCTCCTAGCTGGACTTGGCTGCGGAAGGAGAATCCTGAGGGAAGGGAAGTGTTTGAGGAGCTCCATGCTGACTCTGGCATTCTCCCAAAGGCACTTGTCAGCTCATTAAAGGAAGGAGAGACCCAGAAAGAAGCAGCAGTGCTGCTGGGCAGAGGAGCTGGAGGTTGAATTAATGGTTTTCCAGGCCTGGAACTTAGGGAGCAAAATCCCAGGTAGGAGGGAACCATAGGAATAATAACTCAAAAAGGTGCTCTCTTTCCTTGAGCATTTATCAAACCTTCCCTGCACGTGCATAGGGTAAAACTTCAGGAAACATAGCAGAAACCAGGACGCTAGAAATGTGAGCCGAGATTTCAGCAGCAGTGTAATGCCGAGGAAGCAAAGGGCAGTGCTCACAGTCTGCAAGGTGGAGCGGCTCTGGTAAGCCTCCCAGCCGCCCCGGTGGGGTAAAGCAGGACCAACCCTCGATGAGAGGTGGGACTGGGACAGACCAGACCTAAGACTAGTCTAGAGCTGAACTGAGGAGATCTGTTTGCAGGCTCCCTCCCTGATGCGAGAAAGAGTAACCTCTACATGAGGAAGAAAACTGTAATGTTTAATTCACCGTGTTGGTGCTGAATCACAATGAAAAGACATAAGAGGAAAAGGGGTAATATAGAAACAGACTTGAATGTGATCCAAATATTGGAGTTATCAGTCTCAGATGACTCCAGTGTCTGGAGTTACTATGACTAATATTTCCAAGAAAATAGAGGGAAAGATGAACAGTTTCACCAGAAATCTGAAAAGGATTCGTTCCTTGTGCCTCTCAGTTGTGAATCAGTTGGTTCTGTCCCATGTGCCCCTTTCAGCTGGAGGTGACAGGTGTGTGCACGCCTACCTCAACGGGCAGCCCTGCGAGGAGCCGCAGCTGAGCATGCTGGCCTGCTTCCTGGTCTACCACGCGGTGCCGGCCCCCCAGCGCCTGCCGTCTACCGGCCTGGAAGGTAACTGCCTCCGGGCCCTCCCTCACCCCTGTGTTACCCACACTGGGGCTCCTGCTGCGGTATTTCCTCTGGTTAGACTTGTGCCTTCATTCATGTTTGGTTGTTATTGTTGAGAATTTTTTCCTGGAGAACAAAACCAAAAATCTCTAATGAAAACTACCTGAGCTTTCCATATGCATAAACCTTTATTTCCGTTCAGAAGAGGACAGATTCTTCACAGGGCCCCAAATACTGGTATATACTAATAAACTAACATTCTTATTGTTCTTCTCTCTGTTAATTGACTTTTATTAGTTTTTTTTCTTTATTTTCTGGGTTTTCAGTTTATATTTTAAAAAAATACATAATATTAATTTCTAATATTATAAAACTTTGAAATGATAGCAGTCTAATTTTGTATGTATTTGAATATTTCCGTAACAGAGTTTGAAGTTTTAGCATCTGACTGTATTTCAGACTGTAGAATCAGATGCAAAATCTGTCCATTTAATCATTTAAAGTGTAATGACATTATTGATTTCTGGCTGTCTTGAAAACCTCAGAAAAAAAGGCACTGTTTAGAGACCTCTAGTTGTGGCCACAATGGAATTGCTTGTATTAGACAGACTCTTCCACACACAAAACAGCAAATATAAAAGTGGACGTCTTCATAAAGCCTACAGGAGCTGGTGGCAGCCCTCCTAGCTGGACTTGGCTGCGGAAGGAGAATCCTGAGGGAAGGGAAGTGTTTGAGGAGCTCCATGCTGACTCTGGCATTCTCCCAAAGGCACTTGTCAGCTCATTAAAGGAAGGAGAGACCCAGAAAGAAGCAGCAGTGCTGCTGGGCAGAGGAGCTGGAGGTTGAATTAATGGTTTTCCAGGCCTGGAACTTAGGGAGCAAAATCCCAGGTAGGAGGGAACCATAGGAATAATAACTCAAAAAGGTGCTCTCTTTCCTTGAGCATTTATCAAACCTTCCCTGCACGTGCATAGGGTAAAACTTCAGGAAACATAGCAGAAACCAGGACGCTAGAAATGTGAGCCGAGATTTCAGCAGCAGTGTAATGCCGAGGAAGCAAAGGGCAGTGCTCACAGTCTGCAAGGTGGAGCGGCTCTGGTAAGCCTCCCAGCCGCCCCGGTGGGGTAAAGCAGGACCAACCCTCGATGAGAGGTGGGACTGGGACAGACCAGACCTAAGACTAGTCTAGAGCTGAACTGAGGAGATCTGTTTGCAGGCTCCCTCCCTGATGCGAGAAAGAGTAACCTCTACATGAGGAAGAAAACTGTAATGTTTAATTCACCGTGTTGGTGCTGAATCACAATGAAAAGACATAAGAGGAAAAGGGGTAATATAGAAACAGACTTGAATGTGATCCAAATATTGGAGTTATCAGTCTCAGATGACTCCAGTGTCTGGAGTTACTATGACTAATATTTCCAAGAAAATAGAGGGAAAGATGAACAGTTTCACCAGAAATCTGGAATCAGTAAGAAAGAGTTAAAGGGAATTCTAGAGCTGAAAAATATAACTAAAATTAAGAATTCAGTATGTAGAGAATTGCCTGGCAGTCCCGTGGTTGCCCATGGCACCCAGGTTCAGTCTCTGGTTGACGAACAGATTCCAGAAGCCATGCCAGCAGGGCGGGAAAAAAAAAAGAATTATGTAGATTAGTTAGCATATTAGGCATAGCAGATAAATGAACCGTAAGACAGGTGTGTAGAAAGTAAATAGATTGAAGCACAGAGAGAAAAATGAGTATCAAATTCAGGAAAGAGAGTAAGAGACATTTGAAGTACAGTGAAGTCAAACATGCATGTAGTTAAGATCCCACAATGAAGAGAGAGGAAATGAGATAGAAGCAATATTTGAAGAGACAGAGGCTAAGAATTTTGAAAAATGGATGAAGGACCCCTATTGCAAGATAAATGCAAGGAAAACCACACCTAGTTGCAGAATAGTCAAAGCTACTAAACAGAGAAAAAAATTTTAAAGCGTAGACTTCCTTTTTCATCCAGGATGGAGTAACAGAGATCTGTACTATACCACCTGAAACAAAAAGACAAAAAGGCAGAAAATCCTGGACACTGCATATGAATCAATGGCTTTTGTATCAGGCAGTGAAGAAGAGTGATCCCTAAGAGATGAGGAACAATGAGATTAGCTCTGTGATTGCCCCAGCTAATCGCCTTGACAGTTTCCAGACTGGGGGTGGGGCGGGGGGGCAGGGAGAGGGAACCCAGGAAGAACCTGGAAGACCTCTAGAGCTGAGGTGATGAAGCTGAGAATGCAGGGAGCCAGAGGAGCTAGAGTTTACATGATGGAGTGCCAGAGAGGAAAGAGCAGCACACAGAGAATGCCAGACCCCTGCAGACGGTCCGCCTCCAATATTAGGAGTGTCTTTATTGCTCAGTACATGCATGTGAAGAAATTTCCCGAGGCTGAGGGAAGCACTGTCCAGATGGATTAGAGGGCACATTCTCAGTTTATGCAGATTCAGAAACAGTGGAAACAGTGACATTTTCTTCTTGGACTCCAAAAACCACTGCTGATGATGGCTGCAGCCACAAAATTAGAAGATGCTTGCTCCTTGGAAGGAAAGCTATGACAAACTTAGATAGCATATTAAAAAGCAGAAACATCACTTTGCTGACAGAGGTGCGTATAGTCAAAGCTTTGGTTTTTCGGGCAGTCGTGTATGGATGTGAGAGTTGGATCATAAAGAAGTCTGAGCACTGAAGAATTGATGCTTTTGAATTTTGGTGCTGGAGAAGACTCCTGAGAGTCCCTTGGATAGCACGGAGATCAAGCCAGTCATTCCTAAAGGAAATCAACCCTGAATATTCATTGGAAGGACTGATCCTGAAGCTGAAACTCCAGTACCTTTTCCACCTGATGAAAAGAGCCAACTCCTTGGAAAAGACCCTGATGCTGGGAAAGCTTGAGAGCTGGAGGACAAGGGGCCGACAGGGTGAGATGGTTGGACGGCATCACCGACTCAGTGGACCTAAGTTTGGGCAAACTCAGGGAGATGGTGAAGGACCGGGAAACCTGGCCTGCTGTAGTCCACAGGGTCTCGGGGAATCAGACATAATTTAGCGACTGAACAACAGGAACAGTACCTGTTTCCACAACTTCACAATTCAAGGGGCCCTACTCAGGAACATCTTGCCTCAATAATGGGAAATATTTAGCCTTAAACTAAACAGAGTTCTAATCCCACCTAAAAAATATTAAAAGCACAACACAAAAGGATTAAACTTTTTTCAAGTAATGTGACTACATTCAGGAAGAAAGCTGAAGAATACAGAAACATGAAAATATCCAGCACCCAGCAAGGTAAAATTCTTTGATGTCTGCATACAAAGGGACAGGAAAACAACTTACAGTGAAAGAGGTGAGAAATCAGCGGATGTTCGTCAGCAGACAGGGACACTAAAACAGTTATTATAGCTCTGTTCCATACTTCAAAACATTAAGAGATATAGAAGATATAAAAGTAATCTAATTGAACTTTTAGAGGTGAGAACTATACTTCTGAGGAGAAAAATACACTGAATTGGATTGATGGCAGATTAAGACACTGCGGAATAAAATAACTGTGAGTTTGAAGACACAGCATTAGAAACTATGCAAAGTGAAATGCAAAAAGAAAAAATTTGCAGAAAAGGAACAGAGCATTAAAAATGGAGGAAGAAATTCTGGTACTTCAAGTACCCAATTTACAAGAGATTGAAGTCCCTGAAGAGAAAAATGGGGGAGAGGGACAGAAAAAAATACTTGATGAAATAACAGCTGCAAAGTTTCCAAGTTTGGTGAAAACTGTTTCAAGAAGTCCAATGAATCCAAAGTCTGAGAAACAAAGAAAGCTAAGGTATATAATAAGCAAATTGTACCCCCCAAAATCTTAAAAGCAGCCAGAGGAAAAGAGCATGTTATAGAGAAACAAAAATAAGAGTGCATATTTTTCATAGGAAGCATTGCTGGTGATAAGTTAATGGAGTAATGTCTGTAAAGAACTCAAAAACACTATACCCAGCAAAAATATCTTAAAAAAAAAAAAACGAGACCACAGAAGCTGAAAGAAATCATAACCAGCAGACCCACACTGCTGGAAATGTTATAGTAAGTCCTTTAGACAGAAGGAAAATAATATCACATGGAAATATGGATCTACATGAAGGAAGGAAGAGCAAAAAATGGTAACTACATGGGTATATACGTAAGGTTTGTTTCTTTTAAACTACTTAAAAAAAAAAAAGACAACTGACTCATAAAAATGATAACAGTGTACTACAGTGGTGTTTGTAAATTCTGAAAGGTCGTATGTATAATAATAGAACAAAGACTGGATGGGAAGAAATGGAAGTATAGCCATAAGGCTCTTGCATTACCTGTGGATAGGTGTAATCTCACTTGAAGGTAATCGGCGGTAAAGATAATACTATAAATCAAAAAGCAACCACTGAAAATAAGAAAACAGAGTTAGAGCTAGTGAGCAACAGAGGAGCTATAGTGGAGTCATAGAGAGTGCTCAGTCCCAAAGAGGAAAGGGGGACAGAAGACAGAGAGCACATAGAAAACAAATACCAAGGTGATAGGCTTCACCCTAACCACAGTGACGGTCACATCAAGTCTTCATGGTCTGCTAGATTCCATAGTGTATCAGAACATTGGAGGTGTTTTCATAGCTCTTATGCATTTGTTCTCTGTCCTTGGTTTTAATGAGGTCTTAGGAAATCTGTTGATGTTTATTTGCTAAGTTATATCTGACTCTTTGTGACCCTTGGACTGTAGCCCACCAGGCTCCTCTTGTCCATGGGGATTTACAAGCAAGAATACTGGAACAGGTTGCCATTTCATTCTCCAGGGGATCTTCCTAATCCAGGGATTGAACCCGCATCGGCAGGTAGATTCCTTACCTCTGAGCCACCAGGGAGGCGCTGGGCATATTTATTAATTATATTTAAATAATATATGTATGTAGATAGTATTAATTGTTTCACATATAGTTATAAGTCAGTTTCAGAAGTACAGAATGGAATAAATTAAAAGTTTTATATCAAATCATCTCCTAGAGTGCATGAGGGAAATCTGTAAGGTAAGTAGTATCTTTTAGGAGTTGTTTTCAAAGAGAAGAATACGAACTTTAAAAGTGATTGTGTGTCTGAAGCTTCCTTGAAAGAGGCTGAATTTGTTGAGTGATATGTGACCCTTCCCTTCCATTCCCTTTCTTCAGGAAGCACAAGCTTTGCAGAACTCCTGTTCAGATTTAAACAGCTGAAGATGCCAGTGCGGGCCTTGCTGAGATTGGCTCCTCTGCTCCTTGGAAACCCACAGCCAATGGTTATGTGACCATGGCTGGTGGTAAGCCTATCCGAAGCGTGACTTCTGCCAAAAAACGTGACCAAGCAACAAAGCTAAAGAAGCCTTTCTAAGTTTTATAATATAGCTGGGGGAAATGAGCTGCACAGACCTCAATGTATTTTAAAAATCCAAGTGTTTCAAATATCCCAGAGATTCTGTTGCTGTTGGCATTAACGTGATAGGATATATAAAAATGAGTTGAAATTTTACTTTTGTAAATAAAATGTTTTGGTTTGTTTTCAAAACTCTTGATGATTAAGATTTTTCAGAGTAGAGCAGTTGGCACTGGGGTGTATAATAGTTTTTGGAATCTTTCAGCTCTGGTGATTCAGGTGAAGTGGCTTTATGCTCAGGAATGCAGTTTTTTCGCAGGGGGCATTACGGAGATGTTCACTTTTTTAAAGTTTATTTTTAATTGGAGGATAATTGCTTTATGATATCCTGTTGGCTGCTACCATACAACAGTGTGAATCAGCCATAAGTGTACATGTGTCCCCTCCGTCTTGAACCTCCCTCCGCCCTCGCCCCACCCCATCCCTCTGGGTTGTCACTGAGCACTGCATTGAGCTTCCTGTGTTACACAGTAACTTTCCTTTACTATCTGTTTTACACATGGAAATGTATTTGTTTTTAATGTATTTGTTTTCTAAAAAGCTCTGTTATTATATAATTTTACTTTTTGCAGCAACGAAGGGCTTTTAGCGTTTCCTAGGGTATCACCATTGTCTAAAGTAAGTTTGTTCATCCTGTGACATGCCATAGTATGATGGATCATCTTAAACAGGAGGAGACTTATACCCTAGTAAAGAACTGTCCAGCATGAAGCCTGCTCTAAATGGAGAAAATGCAAAATTCTCACTACAGAGACGTCTTCAGAAATTGTATTTTAAAATAAAAGATAGTTCATTTCCACCCAGGATTTAGAGAATATACACCCATATCAAGTTTTTGGACTAGATGATAAGGAACGGTATTTGTATAAGATGTCTCCATCTTCAGGTTTCCAGACGAAGAAGAAGATGACTTCCTGTTGTCTAGATTCTGAGGTGTTTTCTGCCTCCTTAAATGGCCAACGGGACCTTAAACTAGTCAAAGCTGCAAAGTCTGTCTTGTGATTTCACGTTTCCATGTGCTGAATTGTGAGATTCTGCAGTTAGTTTTAAAAGTGAAAATTAATGCAAATAGAAATGTTTCCACTGAGATTTTGACAAGAACACAACTGGTGTTTGCTCCTTGCATCCCAAAAGTGTGCACAGTGGTTCTATTCAGAGCTTTACTGTCTTACCCTCACGTGTGAATCATGGGTGAAGTGGCTGATTGAGAGGACAAAATGTGCTTCCTTCACATTTAAAAGAGTTTTTCTTCTAATTAAAAATAAAATTTAAAAAAGATAGATTATGAAAATTCCATTTGAGCTGGGACCTAAAGAAGTCAGTGCTGGGCAGCTATTGGTGTCTTCACTCTCAATCGTTTGCAACTTGTAAGCTTTTCTCTGATTGAAGAATGACTTGAGTTACTTACGAATTGTCATGTAGAAGGAGAACGGTCATTAGAATGTTATCAGCAGAAGCAATGATCAGGCTTTATCAGGGATTCAGCAGGCTGGAAGGTTGCAGTCTGGAAACAGCATTGTCTTTATATTTCAGGCCTCCTGAGGAGACAGAGGATGTTCTGAACAGTTGACTCCTGAGTAAGCATGCTTGAATCATCGAAGTCAGTGCCAGCTGTTCAGGGGCTCTCCAAAAATCTTAAGAGTATAACTCACCATCCAGGACATTTTAGCCTGGATTTTTCCTCATAGCCGTGGAGGAGGAAGAGCTGGAGAAAAATGCTTCTGGTTCCGAGTGGGCCCAGAAGTGGCCCCTGTCACTTCCTGCTACTGCATGTTGGCAGGAAGTAAATTCCGCCACCTCATTAACTGCTCTCTCACAAAGGGGAGATCCAGACCCTAGTGCGTCTTGGTGATGTCTGTCATTATGTGGTTCCTCACTCGCTGCTACTTCCCTCCGTCCATCTCTGCTCACACAGGTGGAAATGTGTGGCATTGCCTCCATAGATGGATGTAATTAAAGAAACAGTATATTAATACTGTTTCCCTGATGGATGCTGACATCTGTGCTCCTACCTCGAACATCTTACAAAGCAGTGAAGGCATGAACTTGTGGGCAGCTCTGAGGCATGGTCACCAGGCCTGAGCAGGAACACCAGTGGTGGAAGCCTCACAGAGCTTCTGAGTGCTGCTCAATCTTCCTTGAGTAAGGCCAGTTCTCACCCTTTGCCTGGAAACCAGCCAACTTCACAGCTTCCTGAGAGGGGCATGTCCCAGCTTAGGGGACCTCCTGACATCCTAGAAGAGGCAAGAAGGGGGCGGGACTTGCATCTCTCAGCCTGGTAGTGTTGTGAGGCTGGTGAACCTGCTGGGCAGACGGAGCCCCTGGGTGTGGGAGCCGAGATCGGGGCTGGAAACCAGCGCCGTGGAGCTGAGACAGGAATTGTTAGAAAAAAGGGACGCGTCAGGACTCCAAGGGACGCACGTGCCAAACTCCAAGACGCACGTGTCTTGAGTGGGGCAGCCAGGAGGCATCACTGGGAGCTGAAGGCCGTGAGCCAGTCTGAGACCAAACCAGGAAGATGTTGTTACATCCTTCATGAGGTTTGGGGGCCTCTTCTGGGTTCTCCATCCTCATCCTGACCAAATTTTGTGGGAAAAGCCTTCCTGTATGATGATCTCTCCAGCTCAGCAGTGGAGGGGGGACAAAATCGGTTGCTCTTTGCCTGCTGAGTCTGCAGTTGTGAACCAGCAGTGGAAGGGAGCAGAGGCAAGGTGGGAGGAGAGCCTTCCAAGAGGGCTTTCCTGGGCTGGGCGGGGGGCGGGGGGTGGTGGTGTCAACACTTCCTTCACCATGCAGACACTTGCGCTGGTTCCCACAGCTCCCAGGTGACTGTACCTTCCTGCTTCCAAGACTAGGCCGCCCCCACTCTGAAATACAATGGCTGCTTCTCAGTGCAGTCATGAGCTTCAGATAAGTGTTCTTTGGTAAAAGCCTCTCAGACCACATCCGTAGCTTTGGCCCATGGACGAGGAAGACCTGCCTGCTCGCCGTCCTCTCGCTCTGCTGCGTCTTCAGTTGGTGTGCAGTGTGGTATGCTTGCAGAGTGCGGGCTGCTCAGAGGGCCAGACCTGGAGGTTCCAGATGAGGGGAGCCCATCGGTCAGGCATCTACACCACACACTCGCTTGGGTGAGCCCTGGTCCTGCCTCTTGTTCCACAGCTGAGACCTGAGGGTCAGGGCGGGAGGTGGCCGGCCCAGGGCCACACGACTCTCAGTCACCGCCTGGACAAGCCTGGGCACCCGGGCCACGCTGTTCACACAGAGAACTTGGTCCGCGACGGCCTGTCTTCCTGGTCCAGCGGACACTCAGGAAGAGGCTGGTGAAGTGCAAGTTACTCGGCTGTTGTACCAGGCAGAGTTTATGGACACCTTAAAGAGCAGAGTCTGTGACTCTTACTGTCTCCGCACATCTTTGGAGAAACAAAGGTCTTTGTGTGTATTTTCTTGGAATTAGATTTATTGAATTAGTCTGTGTGCTGCTTTCTTAATCATACAACAACCATCTTAAACTGTTTCTCTTTTAGCTAAAAATATTTCTTCCATGGTGCATTAGAACATGAAATAGGAAGTTTAGGAAATCATTTTATACTAAGTTCAATAAAAGCCCTGAAAATCTGTGAGCGAGCTCCTAATTCCCACTGCTTTCCCTCCAGTGCTCAGGTGTCGCCGCCTTGTCTCTGCAGGCAGTGGCGCCGTCTCGATTCTTAAGTGTAGGTGCCGGGCTCTGTGGACCCTGTGCTCTCAGAACCCAGACATGCTGGGATCCTGGCGTGGCACGTCATGTTCCTGGAGGACTTGTCGCAGGGACAGTGGCTGGAAGCTACTTAAGGCCACTCATGTTTCTTTCATTTGTGTTTATTTGTGTGCATATTTTTCACTTATCAGGAATGTTTTCATTCAGCATTTCAGAGGTTAAGCAGGTATTTTTGGGTAGATGTGTAGAGCTCTGGAGTTGAAGGAAGAATCCTGAGCAGATCCACCGTCGTTAGCAGCCGTGAGGTCTAGGTGAGAGAGCTCCAGCCCTCGGGGTGAAATCTGCAGACCCCCAGGGGAGGGCTGGGTGTGCTGTGTGACCCTTCCCTCCAGACTCCAGCCTGTGGGTCACCGCCCGTGCCCTGTGCGGTGCCTGGATGTCAGCTGGGCATCTTCACCCCCTCCTCCTCGCTCCTCAGCCTCCACCCACATTTCCCACGGGGACCAGCTAAGAAGAGTGCCCTTGGAGGTGCCAGCGGGAGGTGCTGAGCGCGGCCTGCAGGAGGGAGAGGAGGCGAAGCTGCTGCAGGTGGACCTGAGGGTGGAGGGTGCAGGGTGTTAATGCCAGCTCTGCGTGGCACCCTGCCCTGGGGCTTCTGCATCCTCTGCCCCAGAAACCCCCCCCCCCCATCTGCTTTCCTTTATCAGCACCCTTTCTGCTTGGGCTCCTGAGCAAACCCTGTGATGCTATGTGGGATGTAATGACCCAGGTACAAACACAGCCTGTCCAGAGTGCCTACCACTCGGCTCCCCTGGGCTTTGCCACCCTGCCCCTTGGCAGTCTCCCCTGAGTTCCCAGTGCTGTTCACTTGCCGTTGCCATGATCAGGCCCAGCTGTTCTCTGAAACCCACACGTTTCTTTGCGATCCTGTCATCCCTGTGCCAGCTCTGGTGATGGCACCATTCTAAGCACTGTGGTGGCAGTGACCTCCAGGAGGCCTTGGGTTCCCTCCCATGTGCCAAGGGGACCTTTTAGCTGAGCTCCTGGAGTGTTTTGGGGTTGGCCCCGTTTGACTCTGGCTTCCCAGGACTGACTTCCCAGGAGGGTGGGTGGGGACATGGCGTGGCCTGTTGTCCAGCCCTGTCGATTCTGGGTTTGCCCCTCCTGGCCACCCTTGGGAGAGAACCACCCCTTAGCCCAGCTGCTTCCACCTTGGCCTTCTGGGGAAGCACTGACTGGGTGTCGCAGGCTGGAAGTACTGTGGTCCTTTGCTTCTGGAAGGTTCGAAGACGCGAAGAAAATGCTAAACCTTCATGAAATAGCATTGAACAACAATTGTATTGCTTCCTGAAGGGAGTTGGCTTTTTACAAGACCAACTGTTCTATCACTGGACTGTGAGGTTCCTGGGAACCTTAGCAGAAATTTCTTGGCAAAATTAGATATTTTCATAGGAAAGAAAGATGAAGAGCTCGACAGTTTCTGTCTGGCAGTTACCCAGTAATGCTGTGTAGCAGCTGCTCAGTGATAAAACTTTGTACCTAAAGGGGCTACACATACGAAAGAGAGTTGCTCAGTCATGTCCGACTCTTTGCAGCCCCATGGACTGTAGCCCGCCAGGCTCCTCGTCCATAGGGTTTCCCCGGCAAGAATACTTAGTGGGCTGCCATTTCCTTCTCCAGGGGAATCTTCCCGACCCAGGTACTGAGCGCTTGTCTCCTGCGTTGGCAGAAGGGCTCTTCACTGCCGAGCCCCCCTTCTGTTCCCGCTCTGTGTCAGCCTCGGATCCACCCGCCCGTGTGCTCCGCATCTGCCCTCCGTCCTTCAGCTGGCCTGTCCCCTCCCCGGGTAAGGCCGCTCTCTGGCAGGTGGCTTCGGGTGTCCTCGCTTGTCCTTTTTGCTCCTGTGTTTCTCTCCTGATGCCTCCACCTCTTTTCCTCATCACCTGCTCATTTCCTTGGGCTCTTCAGGTTCTTCCTGGTGGTTCAGGCCTCCTGCTGCACTTTCTGGCCCTTCTCCCTCTGCCCGCCCTCGGTCTCCGTGGAGGCGCCTGCTCCGGTCTCGGCTCCCTTGGGGGCCCCTCTGAGTTACTGCGCGGCCCTTCCAGGGCCCTCGGACTCAGGGCCTTGTTGGCCGACAGCCACTGGGAGGCCAGGGGCCATCGGACCACTGGCTGGTTTGGCCCCGCAGGGTCAGTTCGCAATGCTCCATAGGCCTGCGGAGATCTGGAGGCCCATCCAGTGCTTTCTGTCTGTCTGAGGCTGCCCGGAGCCTGAGGAGGAGGCCCCTGGGGGCAGGGTAGGGGGAGGAGAGAGAGAGAGTGGGGTCAAGGTGGGTGGCAGGCCCCGTAGTGAAGAGGCTATCAGGACCACAGCTCCAAGTGTGCAGAGGATAGCCTCTGGGAGAATCATCGTCACCCTCGTAGTTTATGGCCAGACCCAACCCAAGAGGGGCCCCGGTGACTGCTGTTCTTTTTTTTTATTATTGTGGTAAAAATGCTGTTTTCTTTGGAATTTGAGACTCCTGATATGTATGATGGGAGTGTGGGTCCTGACATATTCTTGGTTGTCAGATAAAACACTGAGGCTGAATGGAACTTGATACCAAACTCGATTTATCTCAGAACACACCCACCCGGCTCTCGTCTCTCCTTTTCTTTCTCCTGGGATCAGAGTGTGCCCTGTCATGCCCTGCAGTGAGACAGAGGGGCTCAGCTCACACGATTGTTCCAGCCCAGGTGGAGGGTTCCTCATGCCTTTCATGGAAGGTCTCCCTTCACTTAAAGTAAATCCACACATAAAAACAAAATTGAAGGCAAAGGAAACAAATACTGAAGAGTGTGATGCTTGTCAGGTGCTGAGTCTCCGCACCTGTCCTCTGTCAGCTCCACATGTGTGCTGCTTTATTTTCCAGTGAGCTTATTTGTTCAGAGACCAGAGAGCTCTAGGAGCTCCTTCCATCCTTGTGAGGCTAGACCCTGCCACATCCTTCAGGGACCCAGCCCAGGGAGCAAAGCACACAGAACTTTCGGTGACATGCTGGAATTAATCTTTCTCTTTTTTTCCCCCCCAAGAGCCACCGGGGTAATAGCTCCTTTTCCAGAAAGGATGACCTCAGTGTTTTTCATGTATTTATATTTAAAAATTTCAACTCAGATCAAAACCCTGCAGAGGTTTTCATGACTTAGATCAGCATTTTCAAGAGTTTTCCTAAAAAAAAAAAAAAAGATTGATATGCAAATTGGGACCTTGTGCAGCATAGTTCATGGTTCTGTAATGGAACCCGTTGGGAGAATTTTAATATAAACACAGTAATTACTTTCTGTTCCCTGGGAGTTCTCAGAGCACTTACTAGGCTAATCCTGCATCCAGGGACGCAGTGGTACTTCCTCCCTGTGCCCACCAGCCCGGGAGGTGACTGCAAGGGCGTAGGGAGNCTGTCTGGCCCAGGGCACGGCTCTGCCTGCCGTCATTCATCCGGGGCGTTCCACCTTGGGTCAGTCAGTCTTCGGGCAGCGCGCGGTGTCTCCTGACTACATTCCTTACCCCAGGATCTGACTGACTGCCTTCCCCTCCTCTGACCCTGTGATCCCTTGAAGGCCTTGAACCACCACTGGGGGCCCTCGGGCGGTGCTCACAGGGCCAGGAAGAAGTGGATCCTGTTGTAGAGGTGACCGGGCAGCCCCACACGGCCGAAGTACTCCACCACCATGGACAGCAGGTACTGCATGGAGACAGAGAGCGGTGGGGCGGGGGGTGGCCAGGGCTGGATGGCAGGGAGAGCGTTCTGAATGGGCCGTGTGCCCCACCCCCATCCAGGCGGGAGAGCCTCCCAGGGTGGGCCTTGCTGAGGGTCTCCTGGCCCTTTGACACATGGAGACGAGGCAACAACGGGAGGCCAGGGAGGAGATGCTCAGCGCCGGTGCAGGGCACTGTTTGTCCTGCCTTCCTTGCTGGCACCAGGGGTGGGTCTCTCCAGGGCTTCTGCCCAGGCTGACGCCTTGTCCTCTGCCCCTGCCCTCGTGGGGTGGTGACCCTGCAGTCCCTCCTCATGTTAGTGCTGTGAGTACCTTGTCAGACACCTTCAGGAAAATGTCAGCTTCCAAGAAGCTCTGGATGACGGGATCCTCTGCAAAGGAAGGGAGATCTCGTGAGGGCCTGGGAGCAGCGAGTCTGGGGCTGTGGGGTTTCGGCTCACAGGGAGGAGGAGGACAGGAAACCTCTCCCCCTTCCTCTGTTTCAGGGAGTGCAGGCAACTCTCTTTCCCACTGGGAGGCTCAGAGCTTTAACAAGAGTGACAAAGCGGTTTTTTCCATTGACACACGGAGAGTGGGTCTCAGCCTCCGAGTTTGCTGTTGTTCTTTAATCTTCAACACATGGGAGTTGATAAGTGTGCTTCATGAAGAGATACAAACCTGGTTCTCAAAGTTTTAACATAGTATTCCTGGAGCCAAAGCTTGGATATGGTCTTGGGCCTCTGGGCACCACATTCCTTGTCACTTCATCACACTATGCAAGGCTTTCCTGCCCCATCTGATAGCCAAGCACCCTGTGTGGGTGGTGGGGTGTTCATATCCACCCCCAAGCTGGGGTGGGGGGCGCTGGGCATCCTGCCCTCTTTCTCCTGGGTTCTGCCACTTCCTGCATATAATAACCTGACCTCACCTGCCCCCAGCAGGCTCATGGTGGGGCTACAGTTGTCGTCCCTTGGAGGTCACCATTTTCCAGTGGTGACCTGAGAATATCAGATCCTCCTTGTTCTTCACTCCTTATCCTGGACAATGACATTTGCGCAGATGGGAGAATGGAGGGATCATGGATCATTTTGCCCTCCCTGACACAGGGAGCAGCCGAAAGCCTGGCTCCCAGCTCTGTGATGATGAAAATGGTCTAGATCTTTCTATCCAGCGTGGTGGCTGTTAGGACTTCCCTGGTGGTGTAGCGGATAGGAATCTGCCTGCCGATGCAGGGGACATGAGTCTGACCCCTGGTCTGGGAGGGTGGATTCCACATGCCGTGAGGCAGCTAAGCCCATGTGCTGCAACTGCTGAAGCCTGGGCACTGGGACTGCTCTGCAACAAGAGAAGCCCCCGCAGTGAGAAGCCTGCTCACAGACACTGCAAAAAGCCTGAAAGCAGCAGTGAACACCCAGTGCAGCAAAAAAAAAAAAGGTAGTGTTAGCCATAGGCGGCTACTGAGCATATGAAATGTGGCTGGTGAGACCCAGGAACTGAGTTTCAGAAGTTTAAATTACATATTCAGTGTTAAACTTGAATAACTGCATGCAGCTAGTGGACAGTGTCATTTCTGTCTCATCCCCGACCTACCACACTGGGGCCTGCCTCAGGTCGTGACTTCCCCTCTGCAGACCTTCCCTGAGTATCTGTGTTGCAAAGCTCCTACTCTTGTCCACAGCCCACCTCTAGGTGCCATTGTGCTGTGTGTTAAGTCCCTTCAGTTCTGTCCAACTCTTTGCAATGCTATGGACTAGCCTGCTAGGCTCCTCTGTCCATGAGATTCTCCAGGTAAGAGTACTGGAGTGGGTTGCCATGCCCTCCTCCAGGGGATCTTCCCAACCCAGGGTTTGAACCTGAGTCTCTTATGCCTCCTGCATTGGCAGATAGGTTCTTTACCACTAGTGCCACCTGGGAAGCCCCTAGGTGTCATTGATGTTGTTGGTCTTTTCTGAGTCAACTCTTCACATCAGGTGGCCAAAGTACTGGAGCTTCAGCATCAGTCCTGCCAATGAATATTCAGGTGTGATTACCTTTCCAGAATTTCGCTTCTCTGCATTTGTCACTGGCAAATTACTTACTTTTGTAATTATTCTGGACCTTCTCCCACTTTGACCATCAAGACAGCAAAATCTAGTTGGTCCTTTCATCACTGATCTCTAAAACCTTAACTGGATGGAATAAATATGGGCAGGGAATTTCCCCCTTGATTTGTCCTAAAATGTCTTGATCATTGAACATAGCCATGAGTCTCTTTTTCCCTTGTTCCTCCAAGAACTTGTCTCAGAGGAAAACCCATCAACACCACAGCAGAACCAGAACATGAAAGCCTGGTGATCTGTCTCTGCACCACTGGGACACCTCACAGCTCCAAGCCCCAGGGGGGGCTCGGCCATGATCCCTGAGCCCCTGGCATCCTTGGTGTGGAAGAGACCTGACCCTCCACTGGCTCAGAACACACACCCAGAAGTCGGTAGAAGGCTTCTTGGTCTTCTGGACGATAGCTAGGTCTTCTCCTCTTGTGCATCCTGAGTTTTGTTCCCTCAATGTGATTGACAGTCCATATGTCCCTCCTCTGCTCCCTCTTACTCCAGGACTTCAACTCGGAGACAGCGTCTGAGGAGCTGGGGTGGGAGGCCAGGGAGCTGCTCTTGTGGGCTGCTGCAGGAACAAGACTGTGAGTGAGGACCTGACCCACCTGGGAGGTCCTGAATCCGTCCCTTTAGCTCACCCTGAAGACTGGACCCTGCCACCCAAGATCCGCCATGAGGGCGGGATGACGGGTTACTCAGCAGTAACTGATGCCTCGTGCAGGGCTAGGGAAGCCAAGGACACATACCTGCCTTGACACCCGTTAGTTTCTTCCTCTTGCGGCCTCTCATCTTCCTGGTTCTCTGCTCAGGACCAGCCTCCAGAGGGGCAGGACTGGAGGCCAGAGGGCTCCTGTTCCGGGCAGCTGCTGGAAAGAGGAAGGACCCTGTGTGCTCAGGGTCGGGGGCCCACCTGGAAAATACTCTTTCCTTTTCGCTTTGCTCACCTTGAGGTCTTTGCATGTGGTATCTGCAGAATAAGAGCGACCGTCACCCCCTTTGCACTTGTCTGTGAAGGAGGGTGCGTGCGTGCGTGCTCGGTTGTTTCAGCTGGGTTCGACTCTTTGTGATCCCATGAGCTGTAGCCTGCTGGGCTCCTCTGACCATGGGATTCTCCAGGCAAGAATACTGGAGTGGGTTGCCTTGTCCTCCTCCAGGGGATCTTCCTGACCCAGGGATCGAACCCACATCTCCTGTGTCTCCTGCATTGCTGGTGAATTCTGTACCCACTAAACCACCTCAGAAGCCTCATAAAGGAGGGTAGGAATTGAGTAAATAATCACCTTTCTTTGCCAGGAAAGTCCTGCGCTCCTGGGCCTCTTTCAGCTTGGGGGACACCTCTATGGAAATAAATGTGAAATTATCTGGTTATTGATGTCTTTAATAACTACAAAAGTGAACAAGAGTGTGGCCTTCTGTCTCCTTCCCCCACCCGGCAGACCCACACTCGAGAGTTCAGGGAAGAATTGATGCTGGAGCCATGGCGATCTGTCATCTTCATTCAGAGACGGGGCTAGAGGGGGGCGAATGAGGACACACACCTGCCTTCCCTTCCATTCGCACGCTTTTCTTTGCTGAGTCCTGTTGGCTTGGGGTGGACTCCGAGGCGGCCAGTGAGGAACTCAGAGAGGCCCTGTCTTTTCTGGGCACCAAAAAAAAAAAAAAAAGGAAAGAAACCAACTTGACTTTGACCAGGCCACTTCTTTCTGCTCAACTTGCTTATTGTGAGACCAAATAATATTTAAAATAGCAATAACTGTAGCTAAGATTTATTGACTGCTTAGTAAACCAGATTTTTTTAGTGATTGGGAATTACCTCATTCATTACTTATAATGAATGTATAACTGTATAACTGTATAACTCGCCTATTTACAGGTGAGGAAGCAATGATGTAATTTGTCTCAGGTTTGCTCCTTGACCGTGGCTAGAGCTCTTTGGACTTGGGATTAGAACTTATATCTAGGACTTCCCTAATGGTCCATTGACCAAGACCACACTCCCAATGCAGGGGCCTCTAGTTCCATCTTGTCAGGTAACTAGATCCCAACTAAGACCCACTACAGCCAAATAAATAAATGGATAAATACTAAAAAAAAAAACCTCATGTCTGACCAGTGTTCAAGGAAAGAATGGCTTGTGGCAGCCACTATTGACCTCAGTCACATTTCCATTAGGGTCGAACTGGGCCACCTCACCTGCTTATGTGAGCAGCTCTACCTGTGTGTGCATGCTCAGTTGTGTTTAATTCTTTGCAAACCCAGGGACTGTAGCCCGCCAGGCTCCGCTGTCCATGGAGTTTTCCAGACAAGAATACTGGGGTGGGCTGCCATTTCCTTTTCCAGGGGATCTTTTGGAGCCGGGGATTAAATCCCCACCTCTGGCATCTCCTGCATTGGCCACCTGGGAAGCCCTGTGAACCACTATAGAACCATGGGCGATGGAGCCCGGCGAAGGTGTAAGCAAAGTGGCCCAGGCCCGTCTGAAGCCGCCCTGGAAGCTGACTGAGGCAGCTCCCTCCAGAAGTCCCGCTGCCTGGCCTCCGAGGGTAGTGTCCCCCTGAGTGGTGTCCGCGTGTGCCCAGGGTCCTCAAGGGCGAGTTCTCTGTAGAAAGTGCTTTACTTTCTCTCCCCCTTCTCCCAGACTCATTTTGTTCTCCTCTTACCCACATCCCCTCTGGTTCTCTTTTCCCCCAAAACTCGAGACCTATTTGTATTTCTTCTGCATCCCAGTCACTCATCTGGAAATTCACAGGTGACCCCTTCCATATCCCCTGTGACAGTTTGGAGGGACGTAGTTCAGGACCCAAGATTCACCTTTAGTACAGAAAAGAGTGATGCCCACCCTGAGGGGACACCACAAGGCTCCCTCAAGACCCTGGCTGCCACCCCTACTCAACATGCAGACTCACAGCAGCGGGAGAAGACCGTGGACTGTAGCCAAGTGTTCGGGATCCCATGGCTTCCAAGATTCCGGAGCCCTTGCCATGGGTTCATGGTGATGTCACACCACTCCGCCAGGAAGTGCTCTTGGGTTTATAAAAGGCTCTCAGGGAAAAGACTGTGGGCCTTAAGGAGGAGGGAACTCAGTCCCGGGCTGAACACTGGGATCACTTTCTCTTGCCCCAGTAATACCTCTGAAACTCAGCTTGTGTTTTATCTAACCGATTCATGTTTCTAAATGAAAGTGGTACATCCACATATCCAAAAAGTGATAAAAAAAAATTGATGAATATCCATAATAAAGTTGTTTAAGTCATTTATTTTTTATAACTTTCTTGTGTTTACTACATTTCTTGATTTGTGTTTAGCTATGATCATATATATTAAGATTTTTAAAATTTGACTTTATAATTGTAGATTCACATGCAGTTGTAAGAACTGATACAGACAGACACTATACACACTTTTTACCAAATTTCCTTCAGTGGTACAGACTTGTATATCTATAGCACAGTATCCCGACAGGAGATCGACATTGCCGCTTGGGTTCAGCTATAGGGCACCGGCTTAGTTGCCCTGAGGTATGTGGGATATTACGTCCCGGACCAGGAATGGAGCCCATGTCCCCTGCACTGGCAGGTAGATTCTTAACCAATGAATCACCAGGGAACTCCCATGTAATTTCTAGTTTCAAATATACATAAATGGAAACTGTATAATCTGGTCTATTTTTTTTACTTTGCATAGTTCTCCTGAGAACTATGTAATGAGTTGCATGAATCAATAGTTGACTCTTTTTTATCACTCAGCAGTGATCCATGGTTGTGTGGTGAAGTGCATGTTTAGTTTTGTGAGGATCTGCCACCCTCTTCTAGGAGAGCCCTGTCATTACACATCCCCAGTGCGCTCAGTCGTGTCTGACTCTGCGATACTATAGACTGTAGCCCGCCAGGCTCCTCTGACCATGGGATTCTCCAGGCAAGAATACTGCAGTGGGTTGCCGTGCCCTCCTGCAGATGATCTTCCTGACCCAGGGATCAAACCTGCATCTCCTGAGTCTTCTGTATTGCAGCCAGAGCTGCCCTGAAGCTTCCTCCATTCTTCAGGTTCCACAAAAGATATGACCCTTGGAGAGCAACTTGGGTTTTTTTGGGGGGTGGGGAGTGGCAGAGAGGGTGGTGAAGGGGGACAGGAGCAGAAGCTTCTTTATGGAGTCTCTATATTCTGGAAATTTTTCTGTCCTGGAAATCTCCAGCATAGGTAGGGTGGAGGGAGGCAAGTTGGGCACAGTGCCTAGCTTGGACTCCAGCACACATGTCTTCTGGGACCAGTCAGTGCCCCCATGATGAAGCCAGCACAGAGCTGGTGGCCAGAGGGTTGGCGAGGGCGTCAGTCCTGGGCATCAACCGCCACCCACCCCACTTCTACACACTGACTTGGGTGTGCTAGTCTTACTCTTGCAAGTCTAGGTCTTATGATGATTTAAAAGAAGCCAGAAATCCAGATTTTTAAAAAATCTGAAATCTTGCATATTTTAAACAATGGCAACAAATGGAAAAAATGGAGTGCTGTGTGGAGGGCACGCAGGAGACAGCAGCTACTGAGCCTGCCCACGGGCTCTGCATTTCAGGATTTAGCTCTGAGAGCCACTAGCAGGGCGTTCCAGGGTGGGCAGGGTGGTGGGGGGCTCGGCAGGGAGCATTCTCTCATTTTGATTCATCAGGCCCTGTCTACGCAAGACTGATTTGAAGGGGTCATGCTTTTCCTTTAAAACAGTCCCTCTGAGGACTTCCTGGTGGTCCAGTGGTTAAGAATCCAGCTGCCAATGCAGGGGGCGCAGGCTCAACCCCTGGTCCAGAAACTCGGACTCCACGCGCCTCAGGGCAGCTAAGCCTGCTCTCCAGAGCCTGTCGGCAGCAACAGAAGTCCCGTGAGAACCTGTGCCTCACAGCTGGACCGCAGCCCCACTCGCTGCGACTAAGGGAGAGCCCGTGCAGCCGTGGAGACCCGGCACAGCCAGTCAATACACAGACCCAGCAGGAACAAGACACTCCCTCTCCAACTAGGCTGCGCTGCCGTCGCTGCTCAGTTGCCCAGCCGGGTCCGACTCTGCAACCCCGTGGACTGCAGCCCGCCGGGCTCCCCTCCTGTCCTTCACTGTTGCCCAGAGCGTGCTCAAACAGGTCGGTTGAGTCAGTGGGTGTTCAACAGGGCGCTGATGGCCGTGGAGCTTCCTGCGGTCACTCTGGAGGCCAGAGGGAGGAGAGTGTCCCCCTACCTCCCTTCCCGACACTGTCAGCTCCATTTCCACCCTTCCTGTGACGGTGACCCTCTTCCCGTGTGGGAGCGGTGGTGGCCACGCCGTGGCACCGGCCTCTGCGCTCCCATCTTTATGAGACTGCTGGCAGCAGAATGGGCTTCCCTGCGGCTCAGACGATAAAGAATCTCTCTACAATGCAGGAGGCGAGAGTTCGATCCCTGGGTCGGGAAGATCCCCTGGAGGACGACATGGCAACCCACTCCAGTATTCTTGCCTGGAGAATCCCATGGAAAGAGGGGTGTGGCGGGCTGCAGTCCATGGGGTCGCAGAGTGGGACACAGCTGAGCAGCTAGCACGGCAGCAGGATGCAGTTGGGCTCTGTGGCCGCCGACGCTGGGAAGGTGTGGGTTTCCTCTTCTCCCGCTTCCTTGGTAGACAGTGAACCCTCCTGGTGCTCTCTGCAGGCTTCGGTGTTGGCGGCAGGATGGTGGCTGTTCTTTCCGCTGGGGGCTTGCCACTGTGGGTCCGGGAGGGAGTCGGGAGGGTGACTCTTGCGCAGCCCTTTGAAGAACGCAGTAGGGACTCTAAGGTTATCTGTGGAATGGATGCTACCAGTCATTTTTTAAAAGATAATTTTATTTAATTTTGGCTGGGTCTTCTTTGCTGCCCGGCCTTTTCTCTAGTTGGGGGAGGCAGGGGCTTCCCTTGTTGCAGAACACAGGCTCTGGGGCTCGAGGGTTTCAGTAGTTGCGGCACACGGGCTCGGCAGCCGTGGCTCTCAGGCTCTGGACTGCAGGCTCAATAGTTGCGGCACGTGGGTTTAGTCGCTCCGCAGCATGTGGGGTCTTCCCGGACTAGGGACTGAACCTGTGTCTCCTGCGTTGGCAGGTGGCGCGTTTACTACTGAGCCACCAGGGAAGCTGCAGCGTTCATGGTCGGGAGAGGTCACTGCTGCTGATGTTGCATGTTGAGACGGCAACCAGCTTTTCCGGAACACGCTGTCGGGGGTTATGAAGACGTCCTCCCGCCCGACCTCCCCAGTGCCCCCAGCTGGCCAGGTCATGTTCAATCACTGAAATTAGAGGAGGCCTTTGTTGGGGTTACCCCGTCAGCAACAGAGGGAAACCCGTGATTTCACGTAGGCACCGCGGAGGATGAATGAAACATATTGCATGGACTTGCTGCTTCCCCCAGAATGGAGCCGGTGCTGCCCCTACACTGAGGGGCAAGTGTCCTAGAGGGGAGTCATTCTGACTAATCTGAGCAACTCTGGATGAGTCGGGTAATGCCTGTGACACTGCAGGTACAATAATATAGTAACCATGAAGATGGCTTTGTGAACCATACAGCAAGGCGTATGCATACCATTCTCCCAATAAAGCCTTTGAATAAAGATGCAGAACAAGGGTAGAAGCCATAGCTTCCACGAGGAAGGTGAGATCTATTCCTCTGCCTGAAGGCTGAGGAGGCACATCTCCATCCAGAACGTGTCCAGGGACCCAGAACGACACTCAGTCTCTTGCAGTGGGCAGATGGCGTAAGGCAGATGCTTTGGCGAGCCTTGGGGATTGTTTTTAGATTGTGAATGGAGACATGTTGGACCCACCTGGCTGGTACTGAAGTCAAGGAGTCCACAGACGGTGAGTCCAGACTGCACAGTCAGCAGGCTCCTCCCCGTGCCAGGTACCCTGCGTGTGCTCCCCTAAGATGATCAGATCTTGTGAAAGAGCATGTAGCATTGACTTGAACCATGAAAGGTTTGGGGGAAACCTCTGTTTATTCTCAAGAGTCTTAAATCACCCATCTCTGCTCCATCCACCCTCTTGATGTATCTGAGACCACCATCTGATAACATATGATCCCCAGCGTGTATATGGGAGCCGAGAGGAGCACCTCTTTTTGTCCTGCGCATCTTTTGTCTTGCTTCTTCCCTTAGGTGGGGTCTGCCTGGCGTTCTCAGTGAGACACAAGCCTGTTCTGAGCCTTTTTCTGAGAAAGCCGATCTTCCGGGAGAAGAGTACACTCAGCTGCTTTCTTCTCAGCCAGGCAGTTAGAGGAAATAGGGCTCCCAGGTCGAGGACCGCAGATTTGACTTTGAGAGAGAACTTGGAGCTGTTCTGGGTGTTTGGGAACATTTAGGTAACATTTCCTATTATCTCTTCAGAGGAAATTTCTCTCCTCTGAAGTCTGCTTCATTTAATATGAATGTAGCCACTCTGTTTTCTTTGAACTGACTTTGCAAAGTGTATCTTTCTCCATTCTTTAGTGTTCAGCCTACCTCTACTATTACCGTTGAAGTGAATTTCGTGTACATAGCGTATGTTGGGTCATGTTTTCTAATTGCTCTGCCAATCTCTGTCTTTTTAGTGTGTTTGTTTGTTTGTTTACTACACTTTGCAGCATGCAGGATCTTAATTCTCTGACCAGGGATTGAACCCACGACTCCTGAAGTGGAAGCATGGAGTCCTAACCACTAGACTGCCAGGGAAGTCCCTAGTAGGTGTATTTAGAGTATTTACATTTGTTTTAAAAAATTTTTGCTTTATATTGGAGTATAGCTGGTTAACAGAGTTGTGATAGTTTCAGGTGGGCAGCAAAGGAACTCACCCATACAGATACATGTATCCCTTTTCCCTCAAATTCCCGGCCCATCCAGGCTGCCATGTGACATTGAGCAGGGTTCCCCAGGTTATACAGTAGGT